TTAACTAATGAAGACATTCCCTCCTTATGGAAGGATAATGAATATTAGCAAAGAGCTTGCAGTCATCCTTTGAGAAAGATTAGCAATAATTTTCCTCAAAGTGAGAGAATTAAATTCATAAAAAGAACAATTTGGGGGCTGGAGAGATGGCTCAGTGGTTAAGAGCAGTGACTGTTCTTCCAGAGGTCTTGAGTTCAATTCCCGGCAACCACATGGTGGCTCACAACCACCTTGAATGAGATCTAGTGCCTTCTGTTGGCATGCAGGCAGACAGCTGTATACATAATACATAAATAAAATCTTAAAAAAAATTAAAAAAAAGAACAATTTGGGTCCTTCTGCATATTGTAAGGAAAACACCAAAATCTAGAGTCCCTATGTTCTATACTAATGCAAATAATCAGGAAATGTAAGTAAAGTGGTTCAGAGCCCTTATAACTGTGCAAAAGTCAGAACTGTATGCCATTCTCATAGTACTTATGGATTTTACAGAACCTCTGAATGTAGTTACAGTCAATGTGCAGAAAGAATTGTTGCACACATTGAAACTCCTGAATTTTATTATTGATGAAACAGAATTAACTTCATTATTTATGCAATTACAAAAAAATAACCAGGAATAGGAATCATCCCATATATAAAATTCACATGAGATCCCATACGGTCTGCCATGTCATCTAACACAAGGCAATGATGAAACTGATCGTTTGTAAATAAGAAATTCATAAAAAAAAAATCATGTCAATAGCAATGGTTTAAAAAATGATTTTTCTATCTCTTGGCCACAAGCCAAAGAAATTTGGGGTGTGGGGGAGGTCCTACCTGTTCCTTCTATAACCAAATTCCTTTACCTGCATGCAGAACTAACCCTAAAGATATGTCAATAAATGACATTTGGTAAATGCATGTGTTTCATTTTTGGAGAACTTGGAAAATTAAAACATGTACATTATACAATAGACACATTTTCAGGATTTCAATGGGCAACTGCTTTGAGTTCTGAAAAGGCTGATTCTGTAATGACATATATATTAGAAGTCATGGCCCTCATGAGAATGCCTGCACAAATTAAGGCTGACAGTGCTTCAGCATATGTCTCTAGTAAAATCAAACAGCTTTTTGCATATTATAATATAAAGCATATTACAGGTATACAACACAATCTAACAGGTCAAGCAGTGTTGAAAGATCTAATACACTCTAAAAGAACTGCTTGATAAACAGGTAGGGGGAACCAAGGCCCCAGAGGTAGATTGTTGTAGGGGAACTTCAGAAGAGTCTGGACAAGTTTCTATTCTTGACGTTACAGGAAAGTAGGAATACCCATCTCTAAGAAATCAAAAGGCCTTGGGCATCTAGACACCTAAAGAAGAAAGGATAGCTATCCAGAAAGAATCACCAAGCAAAGAAAAATCTGATCTATGGTACCAATCTTCTCTGCAGTGTAAAATCTCACTACTTCAATATCTATACTTCTTTATTTCTCAGAAAAGTTGTAGTCCTAACTCAATTAAAAATCAAAGCTGGCTTTGGAGTCGGACGGAGCACAGCTCTCCTCTACATCCAAGCATGTTGTTAATAATAATAATAATAATAATAATAATAAAATTCAGAGTTCTGTCATGTATCAGAAGAGCCACCTGGTATGGGACAGAAGAAAACAAAAAAAATCTAAGGACTAGTGTTGTCAAAACTCCATTATCTCCCCAAAATTCTTTTTCTTCCCATACTTATTTTTGTCTCTTTGATACTTTTCTTTGGATATATGTCTACCAAAAAAAAAAAAATTTTTTTTTTTTTTTGGTTTTTTGAGACAGGGTTTCTCTGTGTAGCTTTAGAGCCTATCCTGGCACTCACTCTGGAGACCAGGCTGGCCTCGAACTCACAGAGATCCGCCTGCCTCTGCCTCCCAAGTGCTGGGATTAAAGGCGTGGGCCACCAGGGCCTGGCGTCTACCAAAAATGTAAACCTTCCATTTTGATATTAATAATGTTTAAGTTTTCTACAGTGAACAATATGTTCTCTGGTCTCCAGAGAGGAGATGGGGCCCCACAACAAGGATTCCACTTGGTTCATGATGATGCCATTGAGATGATAAACACCACTCAAAGATCAGATTTGGACTAAAACTGCTCAAGACAATTCCAAGGTGGCTAGCTGAGATGGTCCACCTTCTTACAACACTCTAGTCAGAACGTCAGAGAAGCCTACTGCTACTCAGAGACTGACGACAAATGTTACAGCTAGTCCTTGAAACTTGACCATTATGTAGTTTTTTTGGTTTTTTTCTTTAAAAAAATAAAAAAACAGGATCTCATAGAGATATCAACACCAAGACAGCGAGAAGCAATTCTAAGAAAACGATACCTCCTCTCCCTAAAGTTGAGATGGATAATTTTTGTTTTTTTCCTCAGTTATTACAAGGTGGGGAGCAGAATAATAATAATTAGACTCAGTAATCTCGCTTGGTTTTAGAAAAAAGGGGAACAGATAGGATAAGATAGTAAGGTAGATTACTGTATCGACTTAAAAACTATTTTAGCAACTATCAGTTACAGACAATTTATATTGGCATAAATTCTTGTATATGGATACATATGTAAAATTATTTTAGTATTCCTAAGATAATTTATATATTGATACAAATTCAAAATTATATTTGTTCCTATTTTATTATATTCCTATTTCTGTTTACAATATTTTTGTACACAAATGTAAATTATTTTTGTCATACATAAGCAGAAGTATGTTTCTATTTTGTATATTGACACAAATTAAAGATATTTTTCTCATATTGCACTATACATTTTCAAACTCTGATAAAGATACTTTACATATTATTACAATTTCCAGGTCATTGTCCTCATGGTGCACATGTGTTCACAGATTGTTTATTTTTATAATGTGAAGCTTTAGTCTTTAAGCTAATCGGTTATTAAGAATTACAGGTTAATAGTCACCATGTTTGTCATACTTATGCTAGTTAGGTTCTCTAGATGCATAGAGATGGACTCCACATAGATAGGTAATTTCAAACACTTCAAAGACCTACAGAATATGAAGATGGCATTTAAGTGTTTCAATAATATGAATTCTGTTGCTCTGATCTATTCCTGTGAGAATGATGGGCACAGAAGATACTCCATGTGGAGCTATTTTCTTCTTGGCAAACTGGCCTAGCGGGCAAAGAACCGCCCTTGCCTCGCCTGCGGACAGTAAGCATGCTGTCCAATCTGGACAAGCAGGATACAAGGAAAAGAGACTGCTGAACCTTGCCAAGACAGGGTAGGCCAATCTTTAGACTTTTCCTGCTTCTGAAAATGGTCTGTCAGATACTCTAGGCCTATAGCCAAAGTTGGTTGCCCCAACATTGCAGAGAGACTTTGGGTGACTGTCCAGGTAAGTCAGCCGTTTCTGTCATTTCTTGCACCTTTTGGGAGTCACCTGCTTACACTTCCTGCTTACTCAGGTAATATTGTTTTCTTTCTCAGGTCTTTGACGGAGTTGAAGACTAGACAGCCACAGTTACTATCCTCTCATATCTTAGTAAAGACTTTTTAGGTACAAGACTTAAGATTGACAGCTATTGGACATGATCTGTCATTTGCCAAAGACCTATATGTGGCCTGGACATTTAGTATGTGTTTCTTGTGCCTGATGTTCCTGTTGGTTGTAGGTCTATTTTTGTACATGATATTATCCTTTCTTTCTCCTGGATCATACCTGATATTTATTCTTATTGTATAATGTTTTGTATTGAGTATACAACCTTCCTATTGAGACCAAAGGGGGAAGGGTTGTGGGATTCTTTCTGCCAACAGCTTTAGGGTACCGGCCTGGGTTGCTACATGAGGGATGAAAAGCTGGAGAAGAAAAGGTGCTCTTCTCTTGCTCTGGCTCATGCCTGGCATGGTGGGAGACCTACGCATTGAAGAGGCATTGTCAGGGTTACTCTGTATCTGTGAGTTTGTCCTTTCATTGCAACCCCTACTAAATTGGTTTTTACACCTTTGTGAGTTCACGATTCACAAGGCCTTAAAAACTTAGCTATACAAAAGAATTATCGAAAAGATCTACCAGGTGAATCAAATTTCAATGACAAACAAGACTTGAAAGGATGCCTGGCATGGTGGTGCACACCTGTAATCCCAGCACTCGAGAAGCAGAGGGGGAGCTCAATGTGCTCAAGGCCTGCCCTTTATAGAAGAGTTCCAGGACAGCCAGATCTACAGAGAAACCTCATCAAAACAACAACAAAAAATGAAGAGTCCTAAGAATTCCCATAAGAGTATAGCCCACTAAGCAAAGATATAAACATGCCCATTATTAATTAAATACACCAAAAAAGATAAAGGTAAAAAGGTACTGAGCATGCAGGGGAGCAGTGCCCTTAAACACTTGGCATCTATAGAGACATCTATCTATACATGACTGGATAAGAATGAGAAAACAAAGGAAAAGGACGACCCCAATGCACACATATACAAACGTAATGGCAAAAATAAGAAATCCAACATAAATCAACTAAAGAAGTCCACTGTTCCCGTCCACACAAAGGGTAACATGCTGCTGGGACACGGTTTTATGCTGCAAGGTCTTCTAGTTCACAATTCTGCAGTATCTAGCCATTAGCACTATCCAGTTATTCTCCATCCACCTCTAGACATGGGTCATTTTCTCCCCCCCCCCCAGCCTCTGTGCCTTTGGAGGCTGTCCTGGAACTAGCTCTTGTAAGCCAAGCTGGCCTTGAACTCACAGAGATCCACCTGCCTCTGCCTCCCGAGTGCTGGGATTAAAGGCATGCGCCACCACCACCTGGCTGACATGGGTAATTTCCATGTATCTTAAATGTCATCACATTGAGAGACCATGCCTGTCTAATCTGCTCCGTAGAACTCACAGGGAAACCCACCAGTAGCACTTGTCTTTAGCTCACCAAGATGTAACAAGAACCGCGGACAACTCTAGCTAAAGAATCTGCCCAGCTGAAGAAAACTTACCCTGAGTTGTGAAATTGCTGCTCTTCCTTCCTCACTTTCCTCATCCAGTTCATCATCACTCCACTCCCAGCCTCCATCCTCTGTCTTATGGAGACGGCCACTGGAGCCTGGTACTCTCCGAACCTGAGCAAAAGAAAGGCCCGTGAATTAGGCTAGCACAATTGTATACATGGAACAGGAACCGCAATTCTATTTCCCATTCCTTCTGTCACCTACACAAAAGAGTAACCAGATGATTATCATCTTGGTAAGCATGATTACAAACTCATACCCTCTAACCCTCAATCTGCTTTATCTAACTACTTTAACCTCTGTTACTCTGAACCCCAGTAATATTTTTGTTAAGGCATGGGGGAAAATCTAACATGTAACATCCCAAGACAATAAAAGGATAGGAAAGGATGTTTCACATATACCATAAACAAACCCAAGGCAAGAGCACAATGTTTTTTTCCACCTTTTTTTCGTCTTTTGGGTCAGGGTCTTACTGTGTAGCTCTGGCTGGTCTGGAACTTGCACTTAGACTGGACTGGCCTTGAACTGACATTGATGGGCCTGCCTGTCTCCTCAGTGTTGGGATTAAAGAAGTGCACCACCACACCTAGCTTCAATTTTTTTAATCCAAAATTATAAGCTATACTTCACAAAAATTCAAGAGCTCAGGAGTCAGGTAAACCAGCAATCTCTTAGCCTTCACTCACTGGGCAAGGGATGCAGCTCAGTGGTCAGACACTAGTCCAGGATGCAAGAACTGGGGATCAGTGCTGGGGGGGGGGTCTGCAATGGATACTATGTATCTGCCAAAGTGGCCCGTGCCCGGTACTTAGGTGGAGCAGAAAGACCAGGCACTCAAAGCCACCCTTGGCAATATGGTGAGTTAAGAGGTCAGCCTGGGCCACATGAGATCCTGTCTCAAGAAAACAAGTTATATCTTCTTCCTAATTTTAGCTTCCTTTGGAAACTTATACTCCTCTCTCTAATGGGAGGTTTTGGTTGGTCCCCACCCCCACCCCTGCCTTCCTTTTTTGGTCTATTTTAGGAGTTATCAAATGTAGAATTTTTCAGAACTGAAGATGAAAGTTTCACTATAATAGTGACCTACTCTTTGCTTAGGTACAGTGTCTTGCTTAGTAGTCTCCTTACATTCAGAAACAGTAAGATTTCCACCACTGCCATCTTCTTAAAGCTTTAATGGAGACAAGGGAATACTCTGGGTTGGATGACTTCTGGTCTCATGTATTTCCTTCTGGACTGGCAAGATACAGTTATCAACACCACTTGTTTTTTCAGATTTTAATTTTTAATATGTATGACTGTTTGCCTGCATGCATATCTATGTATCACCTGCTTGCCTGGAGCCCACGGAAGCCAGAAGAAGGTCCTGTATTCCTCTATAACTGAGATTTCCAGTCATGAGCCACCATGTGGCTGTTGGGAATCAAACTACATCTTTTGAAAGAGCAAACAGTACTCTTAACCACAGAACTATCTCTACAGTTCCTGAAGCCAGACATTTTCCATTTACCTCAATTCTAACTCAAACTGCATTCATGACATGATTAGGGTGGTAAAAAACAGCTCTCTGATTGGACTTTAGTCTTTTTCAACAAGAGGGAAACTATGTCTGGTACAAGAAACCTAACCAACAACCCAGGCTAAGGAAGCCACGGATCTTGGAGGAGAATCTACTAATGGTACTTTTATTACAATCCTTAACCGCAGCCCAAATATTTGTCTTTATACCCACAAATAAGTGTAGTCTTCACCCCCATCAAGGAAACTTCTCCTTGCAAAAATGGAGACCATTACAGAAAACCAGTTCAAAATGTAAGCTGTAGAGCCCAGTCCCAACTGGCACATCTACTATACAACTCCTGCACCCAAGGCTAAATGTTTTAGAATAGAAAGCAGAAAGACTCTAAGAGGCAAAGGATCAAGGGAATTTCCTGTGAGATTGTGTCTTTTAAAAATGTCAGAAGTTACAACCATGAACTCTCGCCAAGATGGTTGCCGAAACTAGACTTGGAGAAAGACAACATGCATGTACATGGTAACATGGACAAGGGAAAGCCTACAAAGTCTCAACCATAGACAGAGAACTCTTAGCAAGTAATGGATTCTGAGGCAGGGAAAAAGTTTTCCCCAGGGAAGCCCTCACTGACTGGTTATCCAATCAATACCTAGGTCAGCCCTGGAAACATATAATACAAATAACATATAAAGGGACTGACAGGTTGCATTTATGTATTTAGGGAAAAAAAATACACACACACACACACACACACACACACACACACACACACCAATTTATGAAAAAGAAGCTTCCGATTGTATATGTGAGGGGTTGGAAAGAGGAAAGAGAAGGGGAAAATGATGTAATTGTAATCTCAAAACTGAAACATTCTGAGAAGAGCGGTATGTGCCTCAAATGGACACCATCACTTTCCTCCTGAGCTGGTGAGAGCTAGTCTCGAGTGTGCATCACCACAGCAACTTCTCAATTTTCTTGCCTTTGTTACCCTGACTTCACAGTGGTGTGCAGTAGTCTATTTCACTGTGCCAGGTACTCAGGTCCCTCCCATCTGGAAGCTTCTCACCACCACTTGAGGACACTTTCCTTGAATTACTTCAATGATGCTCTCTCCTGTGACCCCTTTTCTGAAACTCTTCAGTGCAGACCCTTTTCAAGCGATCCTCTAGTCTCACCTCTATTGTCCCCTCCTTCTGGTGACCCCTCCTTCCTGAAACACTTCCTTACCTTTATCCTACAAAGTTTGTGCCCATGGTTTTATTAATGTTTTGAATTTACCCCATGGATGACATCTTTTTAAAATAACAGCTTCACTGAGATATTTTTATTTAGAGTTATGTAAGTATTACTACATTCAAAGTGAGAACGTTTTGATCACATACATCACAGCCACCACAGGTCACTGCCCAATTCTCTCTGCTTTTCCCAGTCCTAGGAAATTAGCCTATTCATGTCTCTGTGCATTCTTGAACAATTCACACAGAATCATATACTATGCACTATTTTGTAATTGATTTCATTTATTAACATGATTTAAAGGTTCGTGTTATAGCATGATCATTATAAATGCTCCTAGACTCCCAGCTGGTATATATACTATATATGTTAATCACACACACACACACACACACAAGTAAGCTGAATATATATTTAATACACCTACCCTAGCAAGCACCACAGCTTCCAACCGTAAGCTCTGAGTAATGTTGGCTGTACAGCTGGCTAGGAGCTGCCAGCCTCTCCAGGAAGCAAGGGACTGCATATTTCTGGCCCAGAAAATGTTTATAGGGTGGTGTTCATCTCCTTCCTTCCTATCTACCTTCTTTTCCTTCTAGCTTTTTAGATGAGGTCTCACTACATTGTTCAGTCTGGTCTCAAAACTCCTAAGCATAACCTCAACCTCTAAGCCCTAAAGTTAGAAGCAGGCACTACTAACCCTGGCATCAAAGTATGGTTGCTGCCAAACATCTGTTATTTTCTCACAAAATCATAAAATGAACTACTGTAAGTGAAGCAACACCTGTACTTTATTCTTTATTAGCAAATAGTATTTCATTGTATGGACAGAACATACGTTACACAACTGCTCACTGGCTCATCAACATTTCTACTGTGGGATTATTATAAACACTGAACATTTCTTGAACATGCTTTCAACACTCCTGGGCACGCACAGGAGTGAATTTTCAGGTTATATGATAGTTCTGTTTATCCATTTCAAGAAGCATCAAACAATTTTCCAAAGCTGCTGCATCATTTACATCCTAACCAATAGTATCTAAGGGTAACAGTTGCTGCGATCTTTACCAACTATCGCCTTTTTTATGGTGGACATAGTAATGGGTGTGAGAGAGGAACTCCTTGTTATTTAATTTGTATTTCTCTGGCTACAAATTATAATAGATATCTTTCTGCAAACTTACCGGCTGCTTGTGCATATTCATTGCAAAGTTTTCTATCCCACCTTTTACTCATATTAAAAATTGGGTTTGTTTGCTACTGAGTTGTAGGAATTCTCAATCTTTTGATTAACATTTATTTGTTTAGAGAACGTGTGTGTGTGCTCACAGAGGTCAGTACACACACATACACACACACATACACACCTGCAAAGTCTGTTATCTCCTTTTGCAATGTGGGTTCCGAAGGCCATCTTTACCTGCTGAGCCATCTTACTAGTCCTGTCCTTTGGTTTAGATAGCATTCTTTTTTTTCTTTTATTTATTTATTTGTCTGTTTGTTTATTATGTAAACAACATTCTGCTTCCATGTATATCTGCACATCATAAGAGGGTACCAGATCTCATAATGGATGGTTGTGAGCCACCATGTGGTTGCTGGGAATTGAACTCAGGACCTTTGGAAGAGCAGTCTGTGCTCTTAACCTCTGAGCCATCTCTCCAGCCCTTAGATAGCATTCTTGCTCTTTCTGCAAAATAAACTTCTTATCCTCCAGTTAACAACATGGAATAAAGGGTAAACAGAATCTAATTTTCAACTAATCCTCCTGCTTTTAGCCCAACTTCCGTTCTTATGGTTTTGTTTTTTAAGTACGGTGGATTGAATTCAAGGCCTGACTTGCTAGAGAAGTGTTCTACAAGTGAGCTACAGCTGTGTGTGTGTGTGTGTGTATGAGAGAGAGAGAGAGAGAGAGAGAGAGAGAGAGAGAGAGAGAGAGAGAGAGAGAGAGAGACAGAGACAGAGACGGAGGGAGGGAGGGAGGGAGGGAGGGAGGGAGGAAGAGCACGTGCGTTTGTGGACTGTGCAGTGAGCCTATGGACCCGCCTTTGTGAGCAATGAACATGTAAGAGTCCAAGTTCACTGGAAGGGGTTATCTTCCTCAGCTGTCCTTCAACTTCCTGTTTTTAAGTCTATTTATTCTATTTTATGTATGCTTTGCTGTGTATGCTATGTCTGTGTACCATGTGCATGCTACGGTGCCCACGGAAGGCCAAAAGAGAGCATCTAAGCCCCGCTGGCAACAGAACTGCAGATGGCTGTGAGCCACCATGTGAGTGCTGAGAACTGGACCCAAGTTCTCTAAAAGAGCAGCTCAAGTGCTCTTAACCACTGGCCCTCTCTCGGTAGCTCCTCACCTTTATTTTATGAGTTAGGGCACCTCACAGAATCTGAAGTTCATCAATTTGGCTAGGCTGCTGAGTAACCAATGAGCTTCAGGGATCCATCTGTCTCCACCCTTACTCCCCAGGCTAGAGGTAGAGGCATGCTCTCCCACGCCTCGCTCTTCCGTGGGCTCTGGAGATAGGAACTCATGTTCTCATACTATACCCTGAGTCATCGTCCCATTCCCACTCCCAGAATTTAGAGACAGCTTCTCACAGCATTGCCCAGGCTAGCCTCACCTTAAAATCCTTTTCTTTCAGCCTCCAAAATATTGTAGTGCATGATTACAGGTGGGTGTTCTGAAACCTAGCTTGTGCTATCCTTGGAGGACCACCTTAAAGAAATCACACTGCAGAATCTAAATAATTTCAATTACGATTACTGAATTACAAGCACAGAGATTTTAAATTGCATTCAAATTATTTTCGAATGTATACTGTGTGCAAAGAACTGACCTAGGCCTAAGACAAAACAGTGAACTTAAGTTTTCTTCTAACAGTGTAGAAAGGCAGTCACACGTTAGACAGTGACAAGTTCTTCAAAGCACTTGAAGGAACTTCAAAGAACATGAAGGAATAGAAAATTATGGGTAGACACAGTTGTAGTTTAGGTTGTCAAAGAAACCTATTTTGAGGAAATGCTACACTAATGGCCTACAAGGAGCAGGACAATGAACAGAGTGTGTCTCCAAGTGGCCAGCAACACAAGGGATCTTCCCTTTCCCCAGACACTAGGCTTCAGTCATCTGTGATTAAGTGACTGTGCTCTAAACCCCTTCTGATTCTGGTAAATGACAGCAGTAAATGTCATTTACTGCTGGTAAATTCTGGGAAATGAAAGCATAAGGGGGAAGAAAAAATAGCAAGGGGAAGAAAACAGAAGGGAGCCTCTCCAGAAGGGAAGCAGCATCATTTTAACTCTAGGTAAGGAAAGGCAGCTTCTTAGGGACACCTTACAGACAAGAAAATGGAGATCTTTTTGTTTGTTTTGTTGCCATTGTCCCCCTGCTCCCCCCCAGACAGGGTTTCTCTGTGTAGCCCTGGCTCTCCAGGAACTAGATACATAGATCTGCAGGCCTCTACCTCCCAAGTGCTGGGACTAAAGGCATGCACCACCACCGGCAAAAATGGAGATCTCTTAATAACCAGACCTGAGCATTCCAACTTGCAGAATGACAGGGCTCTGAAGTGAAGGCAAGCTAATGTGCTGCTGGTGAACGTTAGTAAGAATATAAACTTAGAATATTTTAATACCTTTTTTCCTTATTAAGTAAACCCTTCTGAATAGTGACACACATCTTAAGTAGTGACATGTAAAGATAGTAAGTGACCCTAACTTCCCAGGCACACCTTCTACTACACCATATGGGACAGAGGACCCTGGTCTTCTCCCTTAATCCATCAGCAACAGAGAGCCATGGGGCAGCCTTCCCTTCACATGTGCTACTCTTTTCGGGGGAGAAGAGAAAGGAATGAGGGATTTTCTTTGTGGAGAATGGCAAACATCAAGTTTGTCCAAAATGGATTTCAATGTATTAAATTCAAATTATGACCAAAGTTCTTAACACACACAAAGTAAAGTGCTTTGTTGTAACATGTCTAGAGCAAGGAGGTAGTGTGGCTTACACCCCAAGGTGTAAGTGCTATCTATGCAGAATCCCCCCCTCACTGTGGGAAGCTGGAAACAGTCATCCACAGGGCTAGGACTGACTCAGCAACCGCATCCAGCCCACCTTGTTAGGCTAGGAGACAGCAGGAAGGTATCTCAGCTTATAGCTGACAGGTATTTGCTGACTGGCTGGATCAAATGCCTTAACAGGGCTGAAAATGAATAGTCCTGATTTCTATGAACAGAGTAGCACCCACTTTAAAAATGCAAAACAAACAACAAAAAACCTCTGCAAATCTATTCTAAGCAACATAAGAAAACTGAACTAAACCCTCACACTCTTCACTTACCTTTTTAGATCTTTCAGAAATGGTGGGTGCTCTCTGTAATATTTTTTCTTGAAGAAATTCTTTATTCTGGGAAATAAAAGTCAGTTATCAGAACTTTTTTGAAGAGAGCACTGACACAATCATGTCAATCTCAATTATTATGTCATAAATAAACTGTTTTGTGAAGAGATGGGGAAAACCTTCATCTTTTCATACTTAAGGCTTTTATACTCTTCTTGTATCATTTTTCCACTGGAGACAAACCTTTGTTATATACTAGGAACATACTTAAGGCTTTTATACACTTCTTGTATCATTTTTCCACTGGAGACAAACCTGTGGTGTACACTAGGAACCATTTTCTATGAACACCCCCCTTTACTGTGCATGTCCCTTTTTGGCCCTACATTTCCAAATGTACTAATTCATTATGACTGGGATATGGGGCATTTAATAGCTCAGGCACTAAATCCTGAAGGGAGCTCAATTGTTCACAGATTGCTTGTAGAATCAGAAAAAAAGAACTATTCGTGTGTTTTTAGATGTATCAACACGCATGGGTATTGTGTCCAGCATCCACTTTGTTTTTAAGATAACATCTCTCACTGAGACTTGAGGCTCACCAGTCTAGTCTTTCTAGCCAAAGAGCTCTAGGGATCTGTCTGTCTCCACTTCCCCAATAGGGGTAAGGGGGAGGAAAGAATTATAAGCCAAGTCTCTATACCTCACTTCCTTATGGCTTCTGGGGACCAAATTTAGGTCTTCACACTTCTGTGGAAAGCACTTCACCCCAACCCCCAAGGCAAGTTACCTTACACACCAAAGACTGCATACCAATGCCTTCAGTAATGACTTTACCATCATGTCTCCACATGCAATCAATCATTGTAAGAAATACAAGTTAATTGCAGGAAAATGGATGGAACTTGAAGAAACCATTCTGAGCTTAACCCAATCACAAAAAGACAAACATGATATGTACTGACTCATATGTGGATTTTAGACATAGAGTAAGGGATTACCATCCTACAATCCACACTGCCAGAGAAACTAGTAAACAAGGAGGACCTTACAAGAGACAAACTTTGTCCCCTGGAGAAGGGGAAAGGGTCACCATTCCCTGAGCAAATTGAGGACATGGGAAGAGGGGGGAGGAAGCTACGAGAATGAGAAGGGAAGAAAAGGAAGGATGCAGAGGTCATGAGGGAGCAGAAATTTTGAGTCAGGTGTAGATTAGAAGAAAGGACATATGACAGGAAGGGTTTTATTTGGGAAGGTGGTAGGGGAGGAAGGGGGGGAGAAAGGAACTGGGATAGTCATGTAACTCAATCTTGTTTGTAATTCAAATAAAAAAAAAGAAGAAGAAGAAGAAGAAGAAGAAGAAGAAGAAGAAGAAGAAGAAGAAATGAAAGTTAAGACAGTGACCATAGCGTGAGCCCTAGGAGTATGACACAAATGGACACACTCAGCAAGTTAAGACAGTGACCATAACTTGCGTGAGCCCTAGGAGTATGACACGAATGGTGACACTCAAAAGCGGGGACACCCACCTTTGCTTTCTGGAAAAACTTGTGTCGCAACAGTTCTGCTGCCGTTGGTCTAAAAGCAGAAAGGGGAGTTTTTAGTTTTCAAGCACAACGTGAATGTCCATCTTCAAAAATGAGAAACTTATTTCCTGAGCAGCAAACTAGAAACTCCTCAGTATACTCTACTTTCCTTCACCTGCTAAAACACAAAATTAGGATGATTGCTGTACAGGACACTGAGTAGAATGAAGACTCAAACAGAAATATGCTAATGACAAGTGGAAAATTTACGAGTAAAATACTGTTTCTAGAAGACAATTCTAAAGGTCTTACAATATTTGCAACTTAGCAATATCATTCTCAGGGAGTTAAACAATAACTACCTAAAAGCTTTAGCAAAGCATAAAAATGCATTTAAACTGAAAAGGAAGAAATCAAACATTTTGATTCTTGCTATATAGCAGCCCAGCAGGTTTCAATGTAAGGCAACAACAGATTCTTAGAGATTGCTCAATTTCCCTCTATGAAAACAAAAAGGGGAGAAAATATTTAAAGTCTATTTTCCAAATTTAATCCACGTTCAGCTGAGTTCAGTTATACATGATCTTGTTTGGAGTAAATTCTTCATTATCAACTTTACAAGCTTTTAAAAGAAGATTGTAGGGAGACACTGTAGCCCCTCCTCCTACGAGCCTCTACAGGTGTGCTTGACTATGCCCATGAGGGCACTGTCAGGGGAGGTTCAGGATGAAGCATGGGGAATTCTTAAGGAGAGGACAGCCGTGGGAGCGCTCTTTCTATGTTCCCTAGCCTGCTGCCTGAGGGCACTCTCTCCGGCTTGTGTTTGGCTGGTGTTTATCTGAATAACGACATCCGTATACCTATACCAGATCACCAAGAATAAAGAATGTACTCTTCAAATACCTAGTGTTTCCACATACTTACCATGCAATGCTACACAATGAATGCTCTTCTCAGAGGCATCTACTCAAATGCCAAGCACAGCTTTTGTTCTGTCTTGTTTTAGCCCACTGCTGAGGATGGGAGATTGTCCAGCACCTTGGACAAGCGTGGCAAGCATTTACCTCTGCATACCTCAGTCTGAGCAGTGGCTCTTAAACGCTGCTGTGTGCTAGAACATCAAATCCCTACACAAGGCTTTATCTCACCACATAAAGCATAATACCTGCAAGTGAGACAAGGTATGGATGGTTCTTAAACCTTCCCAGGTAGTTCCAAGTCAATTTTAAGCTTGGGAACCAATGCCTCAGAAGATTAATGCAGTTAGGAACAAATGACACATGCTATGTAAACTGAAACTAAGCAGTGGCATTCTTCATTTGGTAAAGATTTCAATGTTTCAACACCCTCTTTGCCCAGGATAGCATCTTATACTTGCTTCTTTCTTCTACGTCCATTTCCTATTTTCTAAAGTACAACATGTGGAAGAGTGAAATCAAAGGATGTGACTACAAAACTCAATTATTACAAAAAAACCAACCAAACAAAACAAAACCAAAAACTTAGTTTCAATGTTCACTCTTGAACAAGAGAACTTGACTGGCTGGAGAACGGGCAGTTATTCTCCCTCAGTGTTACTTCACTCTGCTCCGACTGCACTCGTGAGAATAGAGTAGGTGGCCTGCAGTTCTCAGTAGCGAATTACTGAGGTCACACACAAGGAACGCACAGTGGGGAGAGGATACACTGTTAGGAATTTGAAACAGGTGGTTCTTTAATGTGAGTATTCAAGGCTTCAGAACTAGAAAGTTGGCAGTCCTGTCTTCCCATCATCATCATCATCATTAGTAGTAGTATTAGTATTATAAGTGCCATGTATCCAAGGCTGCCCTCAAACTTGACTGAAAAGCCAGCCACAGATGACAGCTAAATTTCTCATCACCCAAGTGCGAGGATGACAGGCCTGTGACAACACGGGTTTATTTCAGCTATTATTTAAATATCACTTTTCCTGCATTCTCACCAGTCTCTCCTTGTGAGTCTACATGTGTGCATACATATTTCTTTAATTTTGTGCGTATGCATTTATTACAGGTGTGACTTTGCACCTGTTTCTTCAATGAAAAGTATCATCCTGGTAAGATTACTATGAAAATTAAACGAGATGGCGTCAGGGCTTTCAATGTTTATGACAGTCAACAGTTTGTTCTTTGCTTTCTTGCACTTCTTCTGTTTAACGGGTTTACTAAAGGTTGCAGTTTGTGTTAAAAAAAAAATTCTAGTTTTCAAACTGGAATGCATTTTCTATACTTCCCAGAGATTTAAAATATATTTTGAAATAGTTTTGACTTATGAAAGTGTTGAAAAGATGGAGCACTATTCTTTCACATACTTCACTAGTTTCATGAAGTTAGCATTTTACATGGTCAAATTATAATTACCAAGAAATAACCAAATCATTAACATTAGTACAATCCTTCTAACTAGAAACTACAAGTCTTATTTGGATTTCTTCTGTTTCCCAGAGTGCCCCTTCTCTGTCAAAGCATCTGCAGCATACCCTATCACATCGACTCTCCATGTCAAACAATCTCTTCTAATCAGTCACATGTTTTTCAGTTTCTTCCTTGCTTGGTACTTCTGACAAATACCAGTCAGATATTTTACAGCATATTCCTCAATGTCCACTTTCTCGTTATAAGCTGAAATTATGAAGGGTGAAGAAAAGTGTTCACAGGCAGTGTTGGTCACTTCTGGAGGGAGGTTCCTTATGCTGTGACCTTCATCATGTGGTGGCTTTCTTCACACTTTATTCAATCAGGAGCAAATTACAGCCCAGTCCATACAAGGGAAATCCATGTTTTACATTTTAACTGAACCTTTCCATTCTAAAAGTCTTGCTTCATTCTTTGGTCATAATAAGACTTTTCCTATGGTTGATTTATGGTTTTAATAAATTTAAAGATTTATAATCTTTATAGCTGCCACACTGCACTATTGAAACTATCGTTTCTGCCAACTCTAGTTCATGGCACAGTGACAATATGTACGCTGCAGCTTAAATGGCTGACAGGAGTTAAACCCTGGGAGAGGTGCGGAGAGCACAAATTCAGACTCAACCTAACCCTGGGAGAGGTGCGGAGAGCACAAATTCAGACTCAACCTAACCCTGGGAGAGGTGCGGAGAGCACAAATTCAGACTCAGCCTGTAGAAGGTAAAGTCAAAACAATGAGGAGAGATGTTGTTACCTCTTGGCAATGACAACAGCTTTTATTCTGGTGTCATCTCACTGAGATGGGAGGGAGGCTTCATGTGTGTGTGGTGCACATATATACATAAAGGCAAACACTCATCTGTGTCAACTAAAAACAAATAATTAAAAAAAAGGAGGAAGAAGATATTTTCTGATGGTCCTATCTCTAAATAGGAACTTAGCTGGAAATTCCCTCCAGGTGGACCCAAGGTCCCAATTCCAAAAGTCACAGCACCGGAGTTAGAACTCCAACCTAGTAGGACATTAGATTGAGTAGTGTTCAACGGGTGGTGGCCACAGGAATAGTTTAGGATTCTTCTGTAATTTATGGATTTTTCACTATTTCTGGCATCTAAGGACCTTTAAGTTTGATGAATTTTTATATGTTACTTCTAGGTACTTATAACAAAGAATTTGTTCTTTTTGTCAGTTAACTTGTCAGAAACAAAGATATTCCCTATCAATTTTGGGCACTGTTGGGAAACACAAAAAATTCTAAAAACATACACATGAACTTTTCTGCCTGTTTTTCTTACCCTTTCCAATATTTCCAACAGTAAATTCTGAAGCCCCATTATATATACTAGACATAAGATCAAGGATGTCAAAGTCTTTTACTTTTGTCGACCTTTAGAGAAAACAAAATTAAACAACTTTTAGTACTAAGAAACTTAACAGAATATACAGTCGTCCCATGGTAACCCAGGAGAACTGGTTCCAAAAAATGATATCCCTTTGCCAATACTGAAACTCTGACACTCAACCCCTGTATTTAACTGAAACAGTATCTGCGTAGAACCCACACACCCCTCCCACGCTTTATACCACCTCCAGCTTAACTGGAGTAGCTGCTATCACAGTGACTGTGTGCCAACAGCCATGACACTGCGCTGCTCAGGCAATGAGGACAAAGGTACTGAGTACTGTTATAATCTGATCACAGTCCTTAGAGCCACAGGTGGATGAATCTGTACATGTGGAGGCAGTGGATGTGGGAAGCTGATATATACACACAAAACCAGGTACTAAGATACAGTGGGGATGCAGACCCCACTTACAAATGATGAGCTTTAGATTCAAGTTCTACCTCTAAGACTAAAGATCTGAGTGACCTTAAAAACAGGGGGTCCCACTCAGTGATCCCACCCACAAATGCTGCTCAAGAGCAACATACACTAACTAAATACCCTTACTTAAGAACCTGCTGTTTACCATGGAATGTGTCTAAAGCATATGGAAACTATCTGAAACTCTGCTTACTAAAATCCTTCCAACATGGAAAGTACAATTGTTTGGCACAAAATATAAATGTGTTATATTATAGTTCTTTTGTTATTAAATTGTAAATGGCAGTTATATTTAAAATACAAGTTGAAAAAGGAAAAACTTTCCCACTAACATAGCATTTTACTAATACAGAATTATTACATATATGAATTTCATAGTTTTAAGAAATTAATCAAGAAATATCTGTGCAATTCATATATACCATATACTTAAATGAACACAAAAATCAACTCAGTCCCTTCCAATCTTGCAAAATGGCCTGTATGTTTCCAAAGTTTGTATCTCATTCATTTTCAGAATACACACATCATCCTGTGTATTTGTATGTAAAATATAGGGCTGTCCACACTGTTTATGCATCAAAAGAGACACATCACGTTTATGTAATATTTTACCTTTTTTCTGGATCCTTTTGAAGGCACAGTGAAATCATTTTTCTAAATGATTTTCCATACTTTTTCAGCATTTCTTTATCTTGAACACCAGTTTCCAAAGACGGAGGATCGTTCTGGAGTGTCAGCATTAATACCTGTAAGAATTTTCAATACACTATAAATTTCTAAGACATTTTCAATATGGATAAAGCTTCCCACCACACAAGCAGAATTTACTTTCTAGAAGTTGACGGTAGGAGCTAGAGAGAGAGCTCAACTGGCAGAGGGCTTGCTGTGCAAACGTAAGGACCTAAGTTCAACCTTCAGAATTCACATGAAAATCTGGGTGTGGTGGTCCATGCCCAGAAGCCCTGCTGGGGGGAGGGGCATGCATTCCTTAGGGCTTGCTGGCCAGCCAGTAGAGCCACACTGTCAAGCTCCAGGTTCAGGTAGGAACCCGGTCTCAAAACACAAGGTGAAGAGTGACTAAGGAACACACTTACAATAACCTCTATCCTCTCAAAGTGCACACATGGGCATACACGCACACATACAAGTTAACATCTAGGGGGGATTTTAAAGGTTGGGCATATAGCTCAGAGGATATATGTACTTGTCTGGCATGTGTGAGACCCTGAGCTCAACACCAAGCACCACAAGAAACAGATTGGTTGTTCAGAACCCAAAGTTCTCATGTGCACTGGACATTAGTTAAGAGTTATAGGTGGATGGACTCCCAGACAAGCTGCCCACAAGCGCCCACTGTCAACATTGTTGCTATATCCTTTAGTTATAGTAAATCCTTTACTTCTTCATGTCCCCAGCCCTGATTCCTCTACTGCCAACTTACTGTGAAAACAAAAGCATTAAAGCCACAGCAAAACACACATGTGGTCATGTGGGCTTATCCACTACTTGGCCTGTTCTTCCTTGACTTTACACACTGTGTACCCTTTTCTTCCAGAAATTTCTATTACAGAAGTCACCAATTGTGCTCACATTCTTCCTGCCTCCCTGCAGCCACTGACAGCTCCTCTGTCACCAGAGGCCATGAACGGCAGGTGAGCGGAGAAGTGATGGAGGCGGTATCAGACAAGAAAGTGCAGCTGGGCTGGAGGAACCCTGCTCGTGTCCACAGCACAGCAACACAGACTGTGGCTCACAAGTTCAGTGTGTATTCATGAAGAACTAAAGAAAGAGCTCACAGACTCAAAGCACAAAGAAAAGAAAGAGTCTGGAGATGGCAATGTCTATAACTTAACTGCACATCCATAAATGGTTTACCCTGGGTTTGATCCCTATACAACACCAAGTAAAAATGGCTATGTTGGTATTTTATTGGAAAGATTATATTTTGCTACAACACACACACACACACACACACACACACACACACACACACACACACAACCTCTCCAAAATGTATAACTATGGGTATGACTGGCATATATAAACGAGATAGAGAACTGGCTGGGCAGTTACAAGCACTGACTGCTCCTCCAGAGGGCCCGGGTTCAATTCCCAGAACCCACATGGCAGTTCACAGCTGTCTGGAACTTCAGTTTTATGGGACCAGATGTCTTCCCGTAGATATACATGCAGGCAAAACACCAAAGCACATTTAAAAAGCAGCAACCACAACAAAAAAACAATGGCTCTGAAAAGTAATTGGGACTTGAACTGGAACAATACTTTGAATACAAGCCTCACCTTCATTGGTGGATATTTATGATAAGGAGCTGCCCCTGTGGCCAGTTCAATCGCAGTGATTCCAAAACTCCAGATATCAGCTTTAAAATCATAACCTCGAACCTGAAGGACATGGGGAGGGGGTGGGGGAGAAATGTGCACGATTACTTTAACCAGACTAAAACACTTTTACAAAAGTGCCTAGTATGCCATGAAAAATTAAACCGTTCATAAGCTTTGGGGCTGTTTGAGAGGGCTCCCTGTGCAGCCCAGGCTAGCCTTGAATTTTTGATTCTCCTGCCTCAGCCTCACATTTACTGGGATTGTAAATGTGCACTACCTCAATGAGTTCCAGGACAGCCAGGGATAAACTGAGAAACCCTGTCTGGAAGAAAAAAGCAAACAAACAAAGGAGTAGATGGCTAGAGGCCAGAGCACAGCCTGCTGAGCAGGAGCAAACTGAAGTAAATGAAGCTGAAGCATGAGCAGTCGCAGACACCATCAGGAAGAAAAGGGGTGCACTGGGAAGGAAACAGCGGGACTCAGAGCATGCTCGCTGCAGTGTGGTGAGACAAGCGGCAGAGCGACGACGCGGGCAGCAGGTGCGTGGGTGTTTGACATGCAGATGGGAAATGGAGAAGAGCCCAGCAAGGGCACTGTAGGCCATTTAATCCATACTGATTTTTTATTTTCTTATTACTTGGATTATCGTGTTTGTATAGTGTTGAGTTTCTTGTGTCCAAGGTAAAGATCTATTTTGGGGTTTTGTTTTCTTTGCTTTGAACTTCAATACAATACAATCTTTCCTTGGACGGAGCTATTAACCAATCATTGGAAACACATTTTGCGCAGTCAACCTTGTATACTGAACAAAATCCTGAACCATTTCAAAAAGACAAAACTCACAGTACCTGCTCCATAACTTCAGGTGCCATCCAGCAAGGGGTGCCAACAAACGTTTTCCTCACTTTATTTCTGGTAATATCACCACCAGTCGCTAGAAAAGCACTAACACCAAAATCTGGAACAGAAGAGACAGTGTTTGTTAAGGTCTGAAGGCTCATGAATTTGGGCCAGTTGTCAACTCATGGGCTCCTGAGAGTTCTATATGATCCTGGTGGAGCCAGACGATGACAGCACTTGGGGAGAGCGTGTGCAGGTCAGCCCTATGCGGAGAAAATGGGGCAATGCTCCAGAAAGATCCCTTAGTGCAAGGCCCTTTGTGCTGCTCTCAGCATCCTCAGTCATCAACACCTTTCTCTTCCCACGTGCTCTCACCACGCTACTATTCTGTCTTGCCTGAGAGTCAGTGTTAGGACCCAAATCAATGGGTCTAGTCAGCCCTGGACTGAAACCCATGAAACCATGAAATTCAAATAAATCCACAGTTTCAGAGAAAATATTTGATACCACAACTGTGAAAGTATTACTATACAGAATATAAAAGAATAGCTACATTCCAGATCTAAGGAATCAGAAGCCAATCAGGTCAAAAAGTGAGATTTTGTCTCAAAAAACAAAAACAAAACAAAACTACAATTCAGCAACAACAAAAATCATATTAAAACAAAACAAAACAAAACAACAACAACAAAAAAAAAAAACAGTCAAAGGACTTCACCTAAGAAAAGCAAACAGACAATATAAACATGAAAAGATGCTCAACATAAGTGATCACTGTTGTATAATCAAAACCATAAGATAGACATTAAATTAGATGGGGAAAAAAAAACCTAGGAATGGTGGTGCACACCTTTAATCCCATCAGGACAAGCTGATCTCTATGGGTTCTAGCCAACCTGGTCTACACAGTGAGTTCCAGGCTAGCCAGGGCTAGCTACATAGTAAGAATACCTTGCCTACAAAAATCAAAAGGTAAAACTAGAAAATTTGTGTTGTTTGGATGTTGAGAAACTGAACGTTTATGAACTGCAGACAGGAATGAAAAGGGGCACAATTACTATGAAAAATATGGAAAACCATTTTATCCTAAAAAAAAAAAAAGGTAATGTAAAATCACTGTATGAACCACCAATTCTACTTATGAGCATAAACCCAAAAGAAATAAGCCTGACGTAGTAACACATGGCTACAATCCCAGCACAGAAGTTGGGGGATCAGGAGTTCAAGCTAGCCTGGGCTACACAAAACAAGAAGGGGTGGGGAGGGAGAAGAAAAGAAAGGATGTTAACAGGAGTTTATAGCAACATTATTCAAAACAGGCAATCAGATGGACATAATTTGAATGTACACTGAAGGATGAATGTATAAACAAAATGTGATACGTGTGAATCTATGGGCTGTATTTTTAGGTACACAATATTGCTTACGGTCACAGAACTTCTCACTGGACAGATGGCTGGACAAAGGCACTCGTGTCCAGCCTGTCACCCAATGTTATCATTCATGACTTTTTAATGATTTTGTAGGTGACTGTGGCTGTATTAATTTTCAACATGGGGTATGCTGTTTTATAAATCAAACCACAAGTGATTTACACTGTCTACTAGTGAGGGTCATTAAGATGGTTACCAACCGTGGAAGGATGAGTTTCTCTAGTCTACACAATGGAAGCTGTTGCTTAAGGTCTGCCTGTGGACATCCTCAACTGTGGTAAAATCACCACACTGACTCATACTCCACCATCAGAGTGTAAGACTTTGTGTTCTTGCTTTACACCCAACAATTGGTTTTGTCCTACCTTTAGGAGATAAAGGTACTTGCCTAGATTATCTCTTAAAACAGAGGATACTGACTTGATTCACTTGACCGCTGTAGTGGTGTGAACCGAGCAGAAGGACAGCATTGAATCAAGACAGCCAACTCTAGGACAGGGACTCCAACTTTGTCCGTTAGCTCTAAAACTCCCCACTTCACACAAGCTGCTTTCTAAATGGCAGGGACGCCATGTCATCCTTGTGTTAGTCCTTTACCGTAGATGTGATTTTTTTTTTTTTTTAAAGCAACTCAGGGGGAAGGGGTTAATCATCTTACAATCATTCATATTTCGGAGAAGTCAAGGTGACATGAAATGAAGCAGCTATCACTCTCCGTCAAGACCAGGAAACCATAATTCACACAGGCATGCTGGCACGCCACTGGCTCGCTTCCATTCAGCCCAGTAGCTAGTTCATGAAACAGTGCCACCATGCTCGGGGCGAATCTGCCCACTTTAGTTAACCTAGTTAAGACAATCCCCCACACACATGCACAGGTCAGCCTAGTCTACACAATGACTCATTAAGACCCCTTCCTAGGCTCTAGACTGAGTCAAGCTAATAATTAAAACCAATCATCACAACCCTGGATATAGGCAACTTTGTATCACCTCTCAACCTAGTCTGAACACTGCAGACTCCTAGCTGCTTCTCCTTGAAATGAAAGCACAGAACGCTATGAGAATCCCTCCCCATCAGAAAACCCTACTGAAGGCAAGGAGTGGGAAATAGAAGGGAGGAGGAATGGCCAGGAAAAGGTCTGCACGTAGCAGAAGCCACCTGAGAGGACGCTTAACACAGAAAGACGTCCTTGGACCAGGATCAAATACCACAAAAACATAAAGGACAAACAAGGTGGTTCTGCTGGCTATTATACCAAATTAAAAAGAAATTCTGTGAACCAGAAGGTGGTTCAGTGGGTAAAGTCCTTTGCATACAGGCACCCACACAAATGCTAGGCAGGCATGGTAGCTGCTTATGAGTGCTCAGGATGCAGGGACAACAGGTCGCGGAGGCAAAGCAGTAACAAATGTGAAAACACACACATGCATGCATTCATGCAGACACACACACACACTGCAACAAGAGCAAAGTAAGCCATGGCGATCATTACCTGCGATCTGCACAGAGCCGTCTTCTCCTAGAAGGATGTTTCCCGCTTTCACATCTCTTCAAGTTAAAAAAAAAAAAAAAATCAAACATTTATTCTTTAAAATAGCAAAATTTAAGCAACTATTTATTTACAAAACATAAGAAGCAAATTTAAATATTTTGTTTTACATTAAAGTGTGTTAAAGCTGATAGTAATTTTTGAAAGTTTCAGCCACTTATACTATAATCCAAACATTAAAAAGAAAACTATAATAAGGAACATAGCTTTTTATGCTATCTAGAAAGCTTAATCTCATTAAATATTGACTGGAATGATAATGGCCAAAGAAAATGACCCTCTTCTATCCTCACCTAATTCTTATTAGGTGAAATATAAAATTTTTTCTATACAAACTACATGCTAAAAAACTACATGCATCATTCTCTTCCAAGTTCCTCAACCCTCCATTCTCACTTTCTAACTGATCAAATAATAATCAGATACTATTATACACTTACAAAATAAAGCAAAACTACTCAGAACTGGGGATATTTTCACTGTTAACTACATGTTACAACTCTAGGAACAAATATTTGTTATCTAAAAAAACTAAGCAATGCCAAGTATAGTGGGAGACAGCTTGAATTCCAGGGTTCTGGATACAGAGGCAGGTGTAAGAGACTATCGTGGTCTACATAGAGTATTCCAGACCAGCCAGACCCTGTCTCAAAAACCCAAAACAAACCCCTGATGTTGCATAAAGGAACACACAAACAAAGCAACCCAGCAAGGCAAATCTTTTTGTAAGGAACAATGCACCAAAACTCAAACCAGGCTAGCAAGTGCATTCAGCCAAGATGGCTTCCATCTTTTATCCCTGACATAAGTGATGACTGTGTCTCACCCCAGTGGTGGGGGCTGAACTTTAAAATCTAACTTGACTGATGAATTGGTGCAAAGGGAAAGAACGTTCATGACGTATGAATCCTTGCAGGGCTAACTACCTTTGGTAGAGAAGAACCTTCACTTCTTTTGGAAGGTAAAGAGTTTCTTACAAACCCGAGGAAAAAGAGTACAAGTTGGCCACGACCTCCTCCACTACATGGCCTGCAGTGCTTGAGAGTTTACTAGATGTCTGTACGTCCGTCTCTGTATGTGATCCCAGCTGCTCCGCTATTCTCCCTTCTCTTCAAGACAGCCCTAGCCGTGTCCAGTCTGTTTCTTTTTCTCTTTGCTTGGGATTCTTCCAGATGCCTCTGGCTCTGCTCTCTCCTACCAAAAATAACTTGTCCCCAGTCATGGTGTGGCCATGAGGGTTTCTTTACTGCATCCCTCACATACACACAGCCTAGTCAGATTCCCTTAGTTTCTTACCCAAGTTTCCTTTCTATCCCAGGATCTCACCCAGGTGAGCAAATTCATTACACTTAGCTGCCAGGTCTCCTTAGGTTCTCCACAGTGACAGTTTCTGACTATCCTTGCTTTTGGTGACCTTGGCAAGTTTTGAGGGATAATGGTCAAGTGTTCTCTATGACACTCTTCTAATGAAATGTATATGACATTTCTCATATCATAGAAAAGCCATTCTCATCATACTACGATGGGGAATGCACTTCTGTGTATGTTCATCTTATTGACTGTTGAATAAAGTACTGTTTGGCCAATGAGGCAGCAAGTTAGATGGGACTAGGAGTCAAGGAGGATTCTGGGAAATGTAGTAAAGAAGTGGTGATCCAGGCAGGAGTGACATAGCAGGGAGATTCATATTTAAGCAAGGACAAGCGGGAAGTAGTTCCTTTTCCCCTTCTCTCTTCCTCCAGAGTCACCATGTGATCCGGGGATGGGGACACCAATGGAAGGCATCCTCTATAAGATAAGTCATTTTTTTAATTTTTTTTATTTTTCATTCATTTATTTAGCTCATAAATAAAGTCATGCATAATTATGATACACAATACAGTATGTTCACAATGGCATGGCTAAATTAAACCAATTAACATGTTATATCACACATATTCATCATTTTTGTTTTGAGAAGACTTATAGTATACTATCTCACAACTTTTTAAATATAGCATATTGTTACCAACCATATTTATCATGCTCCCAGTAGACCTCAAGACTTCACAGAGTCCATGCCTCTTGTCCAACTGCAGTTTTACATCCTTAAACCAATCGTTTCCCCATTGTTAAAAACCCACATTGAAGCCTAATAGCCACAATTCTGCTCTCTGTTCCCATAAGTTCATCATTTCTAGGTTACACATAAAATTGAAATTGTGTGACATTTGTCTTCAAGTGTGTAAGTCTAATAAAATATATAGATTTATGATAATTAAGACTGAGCTAACAGATGAGAAATCGTAGTCATTGGCCAAGCAGCATTTGTACCTAATATAAGACTCTGTATATTATTTGGGGATCTATCTCGGGAGGCTGGCAGAAAGCGCCCACGTGGCGGTAGGGCTCAGGTGGTTTTTGGTGGAAAGATTTATTGTAACAATACCATATCAAAGGTTAAGTACACAGTGTCAACATAATTTAGTCTGATGGAATTGAGAAGATTACTTTTTTCAATCTACCATTTTGAGCTGTTTGAATGTACAAGTCATATATAGGTATCATTTATTTAGTAATGCTATTAAGCTTTGGTATTTCATGAGGCACTAATCCATCTTCCAGCAGAGCCTTATGTTAAGTGACGATTTTTCTTGATTAATTTGCCAGAGAGTCAATCTATGTTTCCCTTTCAAACGAAAACTACAATCTGTAGAACAAGCTTCAGGTTTAAAAGAAAGCAGTGCCATGGCTGTCCTCACATGCAACAAGACAAGGGACCTGTCAAGAAAAATATCTGCAACCAGATATTCAGATACCAATATAGTTCTCAGGTTTAAAAAACAAACAAACAAACTTGTTTGTTGTTGTTTTTCAAGACAGGGTTTCTCTGTGTAGCCCTAACTGTCCTGGAACTGAGAAATCCACCTGCCTCTACTTCCTGAGTGCTGGTACTAAAGGTGAGAGTCACCACTAGGCTAAAGAACTTGTTTGACTCTGTCCCAAGCTATCACAAGCAATTCTGCAGCCCTGGGGGCTGAGCCTCATAATTACTCTGCATGGCAGGAACACTGATTTTGTTTTTACTGCTTACTGCCATTTCTCACATGCCACTGTTACCCAAAGTTACAAGTTCCCCCTAAAACTGAAAGGAATACAACACAATAGACATACTTGGCTTTCTCCATAGTGAAGAACACAAGTTTATAGGAAACTTGAAAAGGAATTAATTCCTATTAATGAATCACAATCAAAACTAGAAATACACAACACTGGGCATCTTCCAGACAGCCAGCACTTATTTCATTAAGCTAACCTCTTTGCAGGGAAAAACACTGAGTTGCATTGAGAGAAAAGATTAAGTCAGCAACATGCCCCTCGTCATCAACTCTCTGAAGTCGGTGTTGGTCACCTGCGGTGGTCTGGACAGGAATGGCCCACAGACTCATGGATATGAATGCCTGACCCATAGGGAGTGGGCTATTTCAAGTGTGGCTGCAGAGGAGGTGTCGGTGGGAAGTGTGTGACTGTGGGGTGGGCTTTGAGGTCTCAGACCACATATTAGGCCTAGTGTCACTTTCACTTTTGCTGCCTTTGTTTCAATATGCAAAAGTCTCAGCTCCTTCTCCAACACCATGTTGACCTGCGTACCGCCATGTTTTCCACCTGACAAAGACTGACTGAACCTCTACACTGTCAGCCAGCCCCAGTTAACTGCTTTCTTTATTAGAGGTGCCAAAGTCATGGTGTCTTTATAGCACTAGAACTACCACATTCCAGAACCAACAGCTCAGCACTTAAGACTGGGTCTAGTTATGACTAACAGCCGATGCCAAGCGTTCCCACCACAGCCACTGTCTGTGTTTCCCTATGTACTAGCTCCATTCCCTATAAAGCCCGCCATCATGGCCTTCTCTGTCTCGTTTCTCCAGCCCCACTTGGAGGTGGCCATTTCGTGCCTACCCAATATGTCTCTTGCCTGAGGTCTCTTGCACACTTAGTGTGACTTTTGTGGCATTCCTTGGCCGTGATCACCAAGATACTCTTTTGACATAAAACCCTCTCAGTCAGCCGGAGCACATGGGTGCTACTCTTTGATCCTTGTCATCAGGAAACAGAGGCAGGTAGACCTCTGTGAGTTCAAGGCAGCCTGCTCTATATAACAAATTACAGGTCAGTCAGGGCTGCATACTGAGACCCTGTCTCAATGAGGAAAAACAAATCTCAGAAGTAGAGGGCCACACAGGGTAGGAAACAGAAAGAACAGACCTGCAGTAACAACTACAGTGGGCACACATGAGGAAAAGCAAACCTACTCAACATCTATCCCTGCTGCCCAATTCAAATTTCTCTCAGACCTGATTAAAAAACAGTACATTTCAGAACTACTTAGGGAATCTAAGCTACTTGGGACCTCTTAGGTCTGGCTGCTCTCAGAGCACTGGTTCTCAACCTGTGGGTCATGACTGCTTTGAAGGGGCTTATTTGACCTTCTCACAAGGGTCTCCTAAGACTCACCTAACACACAGATTTTATATTATATGACATTTACCTTAATGACAGTAGCAAAATTACAGTTGTGAAGTACCAATGGAAGTAATATCAGGATGGGGTTGCCATGACATGAGGCGCTGTATTAGGAGACCTGGCATTAGAGAGGTTGAGAACCACTGACTTAGAATCATCTGCTCCACTATTAAAGCACTTACTGATCTTCCAGAGGACCCAAGTTTAGTTCCCAACACCCAAATCAAGCAGCTCACAATAGCTAGGGGAACCAACACCCTCTTCTGGCTGTCTCATGCACATGGCAGATACTCACACACAAATGAAAATAATTATTACAACATTAACAATCTTTAAAAACTATAAACAAAGAAAGAAAAGAAAAATTAACAGTATGATTTGTAGTATATGTGGAAAAAAAAACATATCATTCCAAACAATAGGAAAACTATACATAGAAGGCAGGGACATTTGTCAGTATAACAGAGGCTTTGTCTCAAAGACACCCTTCCCTAGTACTCTAGGGCCCATAAGTATATATGGGAAGACACAGGGAAAGGAAGAGACAGAAAGACAAACAGACACAAAAGAAAAATACAGAAAAAAATTGGATAAATTTAATCTCTGTCTGTTGAGATTATCCTTCAAAAGTAAAAAAGATTTTTCTCAAAAAGAAATTTAAGAAAATCTGTAGTCAGCAGATTACTGAAGTAAAAGTACTTCAGAAAACCCTAGAAGCTAACACACCAGGAGTGAGTAAGAAAGAGAACCTATTTAAAACATGGTAGCAGGCAAGGAGTAACTCCCAGGATGCCCATGAATCCCACAGAGGTGCCTGAATACATGCACACACATGCACACTTTTAAAATATGTTCTTCAGAGAGAAAAATGATACAAGTCAGAAGCAAGCCTACATTAAGAAAGAAGAGTGTCCATATCGAGTTCACCCACACAGAACTTTAGACAATTTACTTTGTCTGACTGTGCATCTAGTCTGTTTCACGAATCACTCCTCTAAAAGTTACCTGAAAGCAGGTAGGTGTATACCTCCCAGAAGGACACCTGTGCCAACCTGTAGAGTGCTAGCTAGATTCAATCTCAGAACCAAAAAACAAAACTACTCATTAAAAAGTCATGTGAAATTTCTCAGAAATGTACACAAAGTTAGCCCAAAGGCTGCTGAGAAACTTTTTTGTGGACCCACTTTGTAAGTTTAAACAAATGTTTTAACTTAAGGAGCCTCATTTTCTTCACTTGCAAAGATTATTAAGAACTATATAGCACTTATGCATGTAGCAATACAGAGTTTATTATTTAGGAACTAGTTTAAAAATATAAAATATAAGCCCAAGGATATAGCTCACTGGTAGGGCACTTGATACCACAGGCATAGGTCCTAAGTGTGATTCCCAGAATAGCAAAAGAAAGTAAGTGTGTGTGTGTGTGTGTGTGTGTGTGTGTGTGTGTTGAGAGAGAGAGAAGAGAGAGAGAGAGAGAGAAGAAATCCACAAAATCAAAGAGTAGTTCTATTTGGTGAATCTTAACGTCACCATCACTACTGGACATATTTGATGAAACAAGCATTTCAGTGCTCTGGAAATTAACCTTAGAAATATGACTAGAAAACTGCATCATATAAGATAAGCAAAGTGGGACCTCAGTGTTCTGGTCCAGGAGCATACCCAGCTCTGTATGGAGGCACACAGGGCACACAGACCTCTGTGGGTGAAATTTCCCAGAAAGAAGCTACGCCTTGTACTCAAGTTTCCACAAGGCTGATTATCTGATTACAACTTCAAAGACTGTGCGGGTCAGAACTGTGTAAGTCCGGGGCCTAACTGAAATGTATCTTGGGCCATCTTTAGCCCCCTTGTTAGCCTGCACCACTCCACCCACCTCCCCTTGTGACTCTAACACTCTTGTGACTATCAGGTGAGACCACCAGCTCCCAACAACCAAGCCTAAGAATTCATCAGACAGTATCTGAGAATCACCCACCTGATGCTTCCATCAATGTATTCCAAAAGTGTTTCGACTGATGTCCTTCTTTGTTTCTATGAAATTGCTACCTCACTGAAACATGAAATTTGCAGCAACCTAATTCTGTGTTCTGGGGATATGGGTACTTACATTAACTTAGCTCCAGAATAAGCAAGTTTCTTATCCCCTTTGAGGCAAGAGCTAGTTTTGTGTGGTCTACATCATGCTGACCAACACATCTCCAACCAGAGATATCCAGACTCATCTGATGAGAAGTGGTGGGCAGCACCTATACACAGTGACACTTAACAGAAGCTCCCTTCTGAGGGATGGCCAACAGAAAAGGATAAATGCTGACTCTACCATCTGTGGTTGCAACCCATCTAAAATCAAAGACATTGAAGACACACAACTTGCTTAACCAACACAAAGCCTAGGCATTTACTGTACTATACTTCTGCCTAATGGGGGAAGTACTTCTGTGTATGTTTATCTTATTGATTGTCGAATAAAGTTCTGTTTGGCCAATGAGGCAGCAAGTTAGACGGGACTAAGAGTCAAAGAGGATTCTGGGAAATGTAGTAGAGAAGTGGTGTTCCAGGCAGGAAGTGACATAGCAAGGAGACTCATATTTAAGCAAGGAGAAACAGGAAGGGTCCCTTTTCCCCCTTTGCCTCCTCTAGCAATGCAATGTGATCCACCGGCTAGTAGGGATGCCAATGGAAGGTGTTCGGTAAGATAAGTCTTATAAAATATATAGATTTATGATAATTAAGACTGAGCTATCAGATAAGAATCCTAGTCATTGGCCAAGCATCTTTGAACCTAATACAAGTTTCTGTGTATTCATTTGGGCCCTAATTCGGGTGGGCGACTGGGATAAAGCTCACACATGGTGGTGGGGCTCGGTGGCTTTTGGCGGAAAGATTTATCGTACCATCTGCCAACTGGAAGGATGTACACAAAGAATAAAGGAGACTTCAAAAGAGCCTGGTCCAACAGTGCTAGGCTGCACCACAACCCCAGGCTTCTGAAAAGACACATTATAGCATGCTCAGGAAGCACAGGCATGCTGGAGGCTGCAGCTCACTGAATGTGGCCTCCACCCTTCATCAGACTTCAAAATAAAAGAAGGAAAACAAAGTAGAGAGAGGCAGCAGGGACCACACACAGGGGTAAGGAGTGAGGGTGAGTGTAAGATGACAGCAAGAGAAGGGGAGAGGAGGGACGGAGAGAGAAGATGGAAGGGTTACTGATTATTCTACTAGAAGCGGATTTATGAAGTCAGAACAACCTTTACATTTCAAGACAAACAAGAAAATTTAGCGGTGTCTTCAGAAATCTGAGAAAAAAGCAAACATGTCAACAAACATGAAATAGCAGCAAACAAAAGGAAATAGAAAAGAAAAAAATTAATCTACAAATGCAAAACAAAAAAGAAAGAAATCACACATACAAAACAGTGTGTATATCCAATAGCAATATAGTAAAACTGCTAAAACACAAAAGGGAAAAAAAGGCTTGAGAGCTGCAAGAGAAAAATAACTCATGCAGGGGCATGGGAATTATACAGTTAATGCTGCCTTAATGCTGGCACAATGGTTGCCTCAAGTTAGCAAGATGCAGTGAAAGCACTAAATTTAAAAAGCAAACAAATGAACAAAAAATTATGAGCCAAGAATTCTATAGTGTGCCAACCTGTTTTTCAACAATGAAGAAAAAGGGCTGGAGAGAAGCCTCAATGATTAAGAGCCATCTACTTCTACTCTTGGTAGAAGATCCGAGTTTGGTCACTAGCACCCAAAATCAAGTGGTTCACAAGTACCTGTGACTCCAGTGCCAGGGAATATGATGCCCTCTTCAAATACCAGGCATGCACACAGTACACAAACATATCTGCAGACACTTTCACACACACACACAGCATAAAAATAAAATTTTAAAACAGCCCATTTGTTGAAGATGCCACACACTGTGGTTGCAGGGCATAGAGAGATCAAGCTGGAACCGAGGGAAGCCTCTTCACAGTGACACAACACTTATGCAGGCTGATGGAGAAGATCGTGTCAGCGTCGGGTGCCAACCTGATAGAAACTAAAGTCAACTGAAAAAGCAACCTCAACCCAGGAACTGCCTGAGGCCATGTCTATGAGGAACTGCTTAATGGTACAGCAGGACCCAGACAACTGTGGGCAGTGCTATCCCTGGGCTGAGCATGCCAGTGAGCAACTGCTTACAGTTCCTGCACTGACCAGTAAAGCAAACAAACCCCACCACACTCCAAGGTGCTTTTGGTCATGGTGTTTATCATATCCAGAGAAAGCAAACTAAAACAGAGGGGAAAAAAAAAAAAATCAACAGTCTTACTCGGCTATGAACTCTCAGCTTTAATACCAACCTGCCAGGAAAGATATGCCAACTGACACAATAATGACTACAGGAGTAACCAACAATGTCAGACAGGACTTGAAACCCTCTCCACAGTAGGAATTCATGCCTGGTACTATAAACCTGGTCACAGCCCCAGGGTTCAGTCATAGGCCCCAAACTGGAACCTTACTTTCTTAAATGAACACACTATCAAACTACCTTCAAAATATTTCTATTTATACTCAGATTTGTGCTGCTCTGCGTCTTGGCCAGAGAAGCTTCTGGCTGTGATGGATTCCAGTTGATACAGAAACCCCTAAGTGGTCAAAAGGGATGTCCATATCACCCTCTCCAAGACTCAGGGGGAGTTGGGAAGAGGAGGCTGAAAGAATGGAAGAGCCAGAGCAGCGTCAAACATTATGCTCTGGACAGGGCATGTCTGCTGTACCCTTAAATTCACAACAAAAGTGGCTGTCTGTACAAGCCAAGGTCACCCCCCTCAATACTTCATCACAGCCGCAGAGAGGCTGAGGAGGCCTCACTCTTCCCATGGGCTATAAGCAATTAATGACTCCAGGGAGAGGGAGTCACACTCCTAAGTGGTATAGGCCTGGTAACTGCCCTCCCTGAAGGGAATAACTCTAACTGTGCTCAAGCAAGCCAGCCAGCCCAATTAAATGCACATTCTAAGCCAACATGGAGCAGGAGGGCCTGTTGGAGAAAAGTGGTCAGATGGAGGGGTACAAGGACAGCGGGGCACTAATAGTATCAAGCAGTATTGCACACATGTAGGAAATTGTGAAAGAATAAATTAAATAAAATAAAAACAAAATACTGATTTTTCCCAAATGATCTCAACTACTCCAAAATGGGTCTGACAATGTGAAACATCTTTTTTACTGTTTCTGGTGCTGTTCTCTGGTGTCTGAATTCAAGATGGTTGGATATTGCCTGATACAAACCAGGAAACACATGGCATTTATGACTACAAGGTATCGCCTATAAAGGAGGCAGGTGTGAGCCCTTCACAAACCTGTGAATCTGCCCGTTCTTATGTAGGTATTCCAATCCGTCTAAGACTTCTCGGAGGATTGTAGCAATGGTCGGTTCGTCCAGGACTCCACTTTTGTGCTCCCCTTTTGCGACAATATGCTTAATAATATCCAGAACAGAACCTGAAAACAGGAAACCCACCCAATAAAAATTCTAGATCATTCAACTATTCGGATCTACTTTGCAATCAAAGCACATTAGAATATTTATATAAACTATAAGGAAGGAAGGAAAAAGTCACAAATATGAGGAAATACAGATATTTAAAATTCTAAATTCCAACCTAAATCAGAAAGTAATTAATACCCAAGTGGTATGTTACACCAGCATGTCTTTTAGCCCTCTAATGAGAACTTGGAAGGGTTAGTGTAGGATTTTAATCATCTCTGAAGACCTGGATAAACCACACCAATCAATAACATTCTAAGATATCACAAGCCAAAGCAGTTTTCAACCTAGACTAGACTGTGCAGTATTTTATAACTAAGAATGTAAAAATACAATTGAAATGCAGGTCAAATAAATGAAGAAATACATGAAAAGTAAAAATCACATTTGTAATTGTGATGGCTATTCCTGGTTGTCAACTTGACTACATCTGAAATTAACAGCCTAAAATGGAGGGATACACTGTGAGGAATTTTTGCTTAAGCTACTTCTTTTGTTTGCTTTCTTTTGTTTTGGTTTTTTGTTTTTGTTTTTTGAGACAGGGTTTCTCTGTATTGTTTTGGAGCCTGTCCTGGAACTCACTCTAGAGACCAGGTTGGCCTCGAACTCACAAAGATCCACCTGCCTCTGCCTCCCGAGTGCTGGGATTAAAGGCGTGTGCCACCAACACCCAGCCAAGGAAGAGCTACTTCTAATCTAGCTCTTTGAGAAGGAAAACACACCTCTAATCTGGGCCACACCTTCTGTTGGAAACCTGTATCAGGATGAGGAAGAAGGAAGCTTCACTCTCTGTCTGCTGGCACTTGCCATTACTAGCAAATCCATCCCTTCCTTGGTGTCAGAGCATACTTTGGAATTCTGGCACATACTGAAGACCAGCTAAGACATCTAGTTTCATGGATTGAACAACTACAGGATTCTAGGACCTTCTGTTCATAGGCAGCCATATTGAATTAGCTGGACCACAGCCTGTAAGCCATTCTAATAAATCCCCTTTCTATATATAGAGAGATTCATTCTAAGTTCTGAAGCTCTAGAGAACCCTGACTAATACAGTAATCAAGTTAACTTAAAGGCTAAAACTCTAGGATAACAAATCCATAAATAACACAAATAAGGCAAAGGCGATCATAGGAATAACAGCAGTTTCAATTCTCCCTTAAGTAAGGCCCAGATGTCTTATCAATCCAATTCCTCTCAGGATGGAAGATGCTGCTCCCACTAAACAAGGAGTAGGAGGAACAAACTCCTCCACATCAGAACACTGACAATCCAAACTGTTTACACTCAAAAAAATTGACAGGGACTGATAAAAATGCATAGAAACGCCTCCACTGCCCTCTCTACACGCACCATTTGCCACTTACACTCTCCTCCTCTCTAAAGCTTTTCAATTAAGAAAACCACTCCGTGCCACTGAAAATTTACTGTACTGGATACTCTTACTTGACTGGCTTGAAAAAACTGATTCCAAATCCATAGGAAATGGTCGTCTAGGAGGCTGGTGGTGCCACTCAATGGCACAGTACCCAGCCTCAGTTCCCCAAAACAAAAGAGAATGCTGACGACTAACACAGACTTCTCCTAGCTCCCATTTAAGATCCAGGGACTTAAAACTAGCACTTTGGAAATGCAGGAGGAGGACTGGGAGGGAGTTGAAGGTCATTCTCAGTTGCAGAGCACTCAGGGCCAGCCTGAACTGCCATGAAACACAGCCTCAAACCCTTCCTCTCAAACAAAATAATCCAATGACTCAACAAGCTTGATTTGAGATATCAATAACAACAACAATAGAGCTCAAGTGCCTAAGGAAAGAACTGACAGCCAGATCCTTGTTATGGAACTTCTGGAAGGCTTTAAAGCCTCAAAACATCCACAGAAGACATCCATGACAGAACAATTCGTGCAGAATCAAGCAGTGGCAACTGACTAAGCAGGACACCTTAGGCCTAAACAAGGGGAGGACACAGAGGGACAGATCAGAAGAAGGTAATGATGCTCTTGGAAAGAAATCACACTACAGAAATTGGAACTCCAGGGCCTGCACAGCACACTCAGAAAAGTGATTCCCCATCTGTCTTCAGAGGCAGAGACAGGTGAATCACTGAGTTTGAAGTCTACAACAATGAGTTCCAAGCGAGCCAGAGTGACACAGTGTGACCCACCTTAAAAGAAAAAATGAAAAAGAAAGCAATCCCTACCTGGAGTTCCAGCACCAGGACCATGTGAAGAGAAGAAGAGGGGAGAAAAGAAATGACTGAAGCGAGAACTCTCAGAAGTTCTCCTTCACTCCCTTTACTCTCCCCTCTGGAAGCCAGCCCACTCCCACCTGGGACTTCCGAAGGAGACAGGCATTTTATTCTCTCTAGAGTTAAGGAGCCAGAGAGGTTCCCAACTCCACACACTACTTCCCAGCACATTAGAGGACAGCTTTCCCTCCTCGATACCGGTTTACAAACTTGTAATCCAGAAGGCCTAGGGAGAAGTTCTGTTCTGCTGAGTTTATTAGCCCACACATTAAGCCCTGAAGCGAAGTGACCAACCCAATGAGCCCACCTGTCCACTCTCCTGAAAAAGGTAGGCCACAAGTACTATTCAGTGCAAAAATAAAATTCCATGTTTAAAACTTGAAGAATTTTTTAATTTTTAAAAGACTGTAATTTCTAGGACTTGAGGGCTCAGGCAGAACTGTCATGAGTTCAAGGCCAGCCTGCACTATACTCTGAGTTCCAGCTCAGCCTAGTCAATGAGATCCTGTCTCAAAACACCAAACAAGAAAAGAAAAATTAATTGAAAACTATAATCAAATTCAAGAAAAATTAATTGAAAACTATAATGAAATTCTATTATATTATCTAGAACTTGTTAGAAAATAAGATATATAGATATAGATAGACAGACTGTTGATTATCAGGCATGATAGCACACACCTTGAATCCCAGCACTCAGGAGGCAAAGGTGGGCAGATCTTTGTAAGTTCAATGTCAGCCTGGTCTACATGAACTCCAGGACAGCCTGGGCTACAGACTACAGCCCACACACACACACTTACAGGAGCACGCACACACAGGAGGGGTGGGGAGGGATAACATGTTTGCTGGCTTCAAGGAACTACTTGTCTGGCATATCAGAGTTAGGGTTTCTATGGCTGTGATAAAGCACACTGACAACCTGGGGAGGAAAGGGCTTATTTCAGCTAACAACTTTCAAGTCACACTCCCCTGCTGAGGAAGTCAGGGCAGAACTCAACCAGGTCAGAAAGCTAGAGGCAGGAGCAGACATGGAGGCCACGAGGGGGCTTTCTCACAGTACCCTTGGGATGGCACCACCCATAGACAGCTGGCTCCTCTACAACAATCATCAGCTAAGAAAATAGAGCACAGGCTTGCTACAGGCCAGTCCTATGGAAGCATTTTCTGGATTAGGATTCCTTTGTCCAGATGACACCGACTCGTGTAAGGCTGACATGAAAACCATAGGCACATTACAATACAGAATCAGTCACCTGATTTACTCAACACTACGCAGCATTTAATTCATGGATAGTGCTTCTCAAACATTAAAGTTACACAGAAGTTTCCAGGTCAACTAAAAGAAAGGTGACGGTAAAACATACTTAAGCAAAGAGACTAATGATCATCACTGGGCAGCCCAATTAACCCAATTAACTAAAGAAAAAGAACGATTCTGGAGACAGTTGTAGGAGTGTGTACTATATTATATCCTTAACCACAATCTGCAAGAAGTACTGTACAGGGAAAACTCGATTTTTGAACTTTAACATGCAAGCTAGTAAACAAAAGAAAGAAAAAGTGGACCCCCAGACCCTATAAACTGTCATTCTCAAAGGCATTTAACAACCTACTACTTTGAGGACAGTGATCACTAAACCACAGGCACTGCAGGCTGGGGTGCAGCTCAGCAGAAAACGAGGCAGTCTAGGAGGCATGGGGCTGGCTTTGAACCCCAGCACTGCATAAACCAAGCCCAGCATTCTGGAGCTGTGGACTAAATGAATAGGGTTCAAGGTCATCCTCAATGCACAGAAAGTTACAAGAGGCCAGCCTTGGATTACATGAAAACCTGTCTCAAAAAGAAAGTTTAAAAGGAAAAATAAGGCCAGGCGGTGGTGGTGCACGCCTTTAATCCTATTTCTTGGGAGGCAGAGGCAGGTGAATTTCTGTGAGTTCAAGGCCAACTTTTTCCTCTCCTTTTTTCTTACAGGTATGGGGACTGAGCCAGGACCTTGCTCATGCTGGACAAGCATTCCACCACTGAACTAAATCCCCAACCCTTAACGACTACTGTCACTACTAAAATGTTTCTGAGCCATTGAGGTTTCAGAGGGCACAAATTTTGCTCATTTCAGTATTCCATTATAAGCCAATAGATATCAAAACAGCTAAAAACTCACTACTACTGACTAAGCATGGAAAGCTCATCACTATTAATCAGACATTCTTCTTAGATCAAGGGATTATCTATATTCTCTCTCAGAATATTGACAAAGATGAAAACTGTTCCAAATTAACAAAATATCTTACTAAGAAAACATATTTAAATTAGATTTTCATAATTCTATACATAGTCTTTTAATGATTGCAAGTACTTGCTTTCCTTCTTCTCAGATTTTTTTTTTTTCTTTTTTCCTTTGATTTTTTTCGAGACAGGGTTTCTCTGTTAGGTTTGGAGGCTGTCCCGGAACTCTTTTTGAAGACCAGGCTGGCTTCGAACTCACAGAGATCCGCCTGCCTCTGCCTCCTGAGTGCTGGGATTAAAGGTGTGCGCCACCACCGCCTGGCCCTCAGATTTTTTCTTAATCACTTGGATCATTTTATTTATTTACTTATCTGTGTGTGCATGTATGAACATGGTACTTGAAAGTAGACTGAGGTCAGAGGGCAACTTGCTGGCTCCAACTACCTGGTTCTGACGATCTGACACTGAAGTGTGGTCCTAACAAATTGCAGAAACAAGTATTTGGACAGAAAGGGCTTCACAACCATCTACAATGAGATTGGTGCCCTCTTTTGGCATAAAGGCATACATGCAGATAGAGCACTCACACATAACAATAAATTTCACTGTGAGTTAATGACCAGCCAGGTCTACACAGTGAGCTCCAGGACATCTAGGAGTATACAGACTCTATCTAAAACACAAAACAAATAAAAAAAATTAAATTCAAAATATAAGATGTTATACTTATTACTGGAAATATCAGAATAAAATTTCTTATTGTAAATAAATATATGTATATGCATGTATATAAATATGATAGATTTAGTTCTAGTTTATTAAATTTTAAAAATAAAGCTGGGTGGTGGTGGCACATGCCTGCAATCTCAGTTCTCAGGAGGCAGGGTTGGAGAAAGGGTGGGCAAGCACTCAGGGGAGCGATGGGAGAATTAAGTACACATTCCCACCCATCGTCAAGATTTTTCAAAACATCAAAAGCTCTATATTATACATTTTTGTAAATCACAAGTAAGAAAAATTATGCTATCTATAGGTGATCAATAATGAAAGACACAGTGCTACCTACTGTTCCCGTATCTGTCCACACTAAAAGAACCACGCTTGACCACCATCTTGAAAGGTGGTTGGTGTTAGCAACCACCACATGAAACGGGCCTTTAACAAAGCGATTCTCCAGTGTTTCCAGCGTGTCACTAATGGATTAAAAAAAGAGGTGATTCTGGCTATGCTGAGAGTTTCCAGCAGCAAGGGAGGGAAGCCTCCTGCCATGACTAAGCCCAACGGCAGATGCTTCACTTCTGCAACCTGAGTGCAGAAAGGCCTCCTCATTCAGCAAACAAGTGAAGTTCAGAGCTGAAACTGTTCTAATGGCATGCAACTGCTAACGAGAAAGGCATCCTGTATTCTAGAGCCTATGTCTCTCTTGAAGTATGAAGTGAAATAGCATACTAAAACTGCAAACTAAACAAATGTGGATTCTTTCTTCTGCATCTATACTCTGTAAAATGGAAAATCACACTCCCTTACAAAGAACAAATGCACATAGAAACCAAGCAACATGGCATGGGAAGGTTGAGCAGCTCCATCACTCACAAGTCCTCCCAATCTTGCTACACATTCAAACGGAAGCCTTAACCAAAAGGGGGAGGAAGATGTATCACTATATATACCATGTGTCTTCAGTTTACCATAAAATAATGTTCAATCAGCCAGATGGTGGTGCAATCCATTAGTCCCAGCACTTGAGAGTCAGATAGATGGATCTTTGTGAGTTCAAAGCCAGCCTGTCTACAAAGCAAGCTCTAGGACAACCAGGGTCAGACAACAAACCCTGTCTTGAAAATCAAACACAAAACTGTTCAATCTAAACATGCCAAATGTCCATGTATTTGTGTGTATTACATATGTTACAAGAAAAAAATACATAATTATATTAATATTAGGGGAAATTAAGATTTTCTGTGCATGCCTTTAATCCCATTGGTGATGCACACCTTTAATCCCAGCACTCAGGGAGGCTGAGGCAGGCGGATCTCTGTGAGTTCAAGGCCAGCCTGGTCTTCAAAAAGAGTACCCCCAGATGAGAGGAGACGCCTGCCAGCCACCAAGGAAGCAGGACGTGTAGAAAGTGAGGTAACAAGCCATGAGCCACGTGTCAAAGCACAGATAAGAAATATGGGTTAATTTAAATGTAACAGCTAGCTAGTAACAAGCCTAAGCTACCAGCCAAGCATTTACAATTAATATTAAGCCTCACAGTAGTTATTTGGAAGCAGCTGCCAGGATGGGAAACTTCCACATACACCCATAAGTCAGAAAATATTGGATCCCAGGGAATTGGCAGTTACGGATGGGTGCTGGAAATGGAACTCAGTCCTCTGCAAAAAAAAGTTTTCTCAACTACGAAGTCATCTCTCTCCAGGCCAACAATCAACTCTTAAACTACATTTAAATGTCTGTTAACTAGGGCAGGCATGAGTGCTTCAGCACACACGTGCTCTGAAGACAGCCTTGTGGAGCGGAGCTGTGCTCCACCCCGCCTTTACACAGGTCCCAGAGCCAGACAGATCAGCCATCAATCTTTTGATTCTGCCTTTTGAATGGAGTCCCAGTTAAGAAGGTAAGGTTCCATATATTTATATTTACAAAAGAAGGAAGAGGAAGGAAACTATACTAAATTAAGAGAGGTGTTACAGGCATAACAGCCAAACAGAATGTGTGAAACCCATGAAAGCTACACACTAGCATTTGTTTTATTTAAACTATATCTGAGTATCCTCAAATGTAAAACATCAACAAAATCCTATCAGGATAAGAAGAATTTTTATTTATTTATTTTTTGACAAGATCTCACTTTGTAACTCTGGCTCTAGAGAAGCCGGCCTTGAACTCACAGAGCTCTGCCGTCCTCTGCTCTGAGTGCTGGGAACTCTTCAGCAGACTTTCAGCCCATGGACCGCAGCATCCACTGTGGTGTACTCACCTCCACTCAGCAGCTTCATGACCAGCCACAGTTCATCCTTTACCACAAAAGACGTGTAGTAAGACACAATATTAGGGTGATGGCATTGACTCATGGCTTGAATTTCTTTCTACAAAGAAGAAAATGCATGGTCACTCATTAAATCCCAGCTTAAAGCATCCCCTATAAATTAGCAAATCCAGATTTGGTGGTCCCAGGACTATGACACAGTGTCCCCTGTGGTTTCTAAGGTACTGATCTCTTCATGAATGGCTACAGGCCAGGCTGCACATACCTCTAACCCTGGCACTTCAGAGGAAGAAAGGCTGAGATTAGAGGACAGTTTGACCAGGAGGCAGAGGCAGAGGCGCAGAGAGGCGCAGAGGCACGCAGAAAGGGGCACAGAGGGGCAGAGGGGCGCAGAGGGGCAGAGAGGTGCAAAGGGGCACAGAGGGGCAAAGAGGGGCAGAGAGGCGCAGAGAGGCGCAGAGAGGCGCAGAGAGGCGCAGAGAGGGGCAGAGAGGGGCAGAGAGGGGCAGAGAGGCGCAGAGAGGCGCAGAGAGGGGCAGAGAGGGGCAGAGAGGGGCAGAGAGGCAGAGGGATCTCTGTGACTTTGAGGCCAGCCTGATCTACAGAGTGGATTCCAGGATAGCCAGGGCTACAGAGAAACAAAAAAGAAGAAGAGCTAAACCAGAAAAGCATGCCGTTTCCTTCAGTCAATTCTGACTCTGCTCCTTCTAGACACTGTATTAGTAATCTCTGAAACAGAAAACATGAACTGTTGATCACATCCTGGCACAGTACCTCAGGAGGCCTATCCATTAGGACACAAATTCTTACTACAAGGCATCCTTGAATAGCTATCTTGGGAAATCTTGCCCATAGAGGATAATTACTAATAAACAGAAGGTAATTTTTTTGTCTGCTTGTTTTGTCCTAGTAAAACATCTGTTCAACTAATTTTTGTGAAATGATTGTCAATTATCACACCTAAAAGAAGTAAACTGAAATTGTACAAAGTTACAAACTAAATCCAGAGTAGTGAAGCCTTTGCCAAAGACTAACTCTATCTCAGTTTATAAAATTTAAAGTAACCAAGGATGGTAAAATGTTTTAGAAAACCCTGAATGAAACCAGGGACCCTCTGGTCTTACCCCTATCCCTTCTGAACCCACTCCTAAGATGTAGCCACACAAAACAACTTAATGCTTCTATCTCTGAACCTTGAACCCTACAGCTCACTCTCATCAAATATATTACCACAGCACCTCAACTTAGCAATCTGATTTCAGTGTAGGTATTTTTAACATTTTTCCAAAGCATCCAGGTTTGTCAGGGGCTGCTACTGCTGCTCTGCCTTTTTCTCCTTTCTTTTCTCTTTTTTTTTAATTAAAAAGGCAAAATAACAACTTTATTTTTCCAGATGGGAGAAGCCTTACACTGGAAGTACAAAACCCCTAAACTTCAAAGAACCTTGTACACCTTCTCCCATTACAGCATGTAAACACTACACAGTACATATGAGCTCACTTGTCTGGCTCTGCTAGACTGAGGGCTTCATGATTCCCACATGGGACGGCACATGCACGCAGTGCTAGCACCTGGGAGGGGAAGGGGAAGGAATAAGAGAGTCTAAGGACAGAATCAGCCTCATAGAGTGTGAGTTTTTTGCCTGAAGGTATGTTGGTGCACCATATGCGTGCCCAGTGCCTATGGGGGTCAGAAGAGGGTGCCAGACCCCCTGGAACTGAAGTTATGAATGGTTCTGAGCCACCATGTGGATTGAGCAAGTTGAACCTGGGTCCTCTGAAAGGACAGCCAGCTTTTGAGCACTGAACTATTTCTCCTGCCCCCTTCTTAGTTTTTAAGGACACATAAAGATTCTATCTCATAAAGTAATGATTATATAATTCTGTTTTCCCCATCATCGTGGAGCTGTAAACTTAGTAGTGGAGTACTTGCCTAGCATGCGCTAGGTCCCTAGTTCAATCTCTAGTATGAACATGCACACACGCACGTGCTTAAAATAGAACTTTCACTGTTTTCTTAATTCTTAGTTGGGGTATGTGTGCACCCCTGCACCCAGAAAAGTCAGAAGAGGGCATGGATGACTTGGAGTTATTAGTATAGGCAGTTGTGAGCCACCAGACTTAGATCCTAAGGCCTTAACTAAGGTCCTCCGGAAGGGCAGCAAAAGCTCAGAAACACTGAGTCATCTCTCCAGCTCCTGAACTTACTGCCTAGTTCTTTTCTGCACTACCCCACAACACGCATTCACACAAAACTAAGAATATTGTATTTATCATTGTGTCTGGCACACGTACACCTCTAATAAATAATATTTGTGGAATGAAAGAAATCCCAGTGCTTTATATAGCTTTTCATTTATTCACTCACATGCTTTATATATTTGGTATAGAAAGATTTTTAAATCATTTAAAAATGATAAATGAAGTACTCGATAAATGCTATTTTTTCATCTTTTCTACTTAAATGCAAATTTATTTATAGAAAAAGACCTTGTACATATTTTGTAAGCCCTAAAGTCACCAACAGGGACTTTTCAAGGCTCCTTGATGTCTAAAAACTCAGGGGAAAAAAGAAAGACGGAAGAAGGAACTAAGTAGGCACCTGCCTCTTAACAGCTATACAGGCTGTTATGTACATGTATATATAAAGGTAAGGTATGTGCATACAAAAAGGAGCAGGTAGGTGAGCACATACGGAACACATTACTAAGATATTAAATGTTACAAGAGTCAACAGGAAAGCACAGCTAAGGCAAGTGGTCAAAGAAGTCTTCCTAGAGGAGATAGATGTACTCATGTCAGCTCTACAGACTAGGGAAACAGAAGCAGTATGAGATGAAAGACAAGTGGCCTCCCAACTCAGTATTAAGAAATTAAACCAGGACTACTGAGTCACATTCCCAGCCCCGTAGTAACACTTAAATATGATAAAATATGGGAGATATACCGCCAGATAGCCTCTAACCAGTATATTCCCATCCGAGTGTTAAATGGCACCCCACAACCTACTTCAGTGACAACCACTGGGAAAGAGCAGGAAAAAACCTCCCTAGAAAATCCTCTTCTCCCTGTTCTTAGCCTAACCTTCTTCTATGTACTTTACATCTAACTACAAGCTCCCAGGCCCCAACAGCTGAACAGTCAGCAAAGGGTCTTCTTAGGGTCTCACAACCTCAAGAGGAAACCAGAGGACAGTTTGAGATTAAAAACTGTTAGCATAAGGGCTGGAAAGATGACTCATCAGTTAAGACCTGAGTTCTGTTACCGTATCTACACTGGGCAGCTCACAACTACCGTAACTCCAGCTCTCTGGCCTCTGCAGGTACCCACATGTATGTTCACATACCCACTCACACAGAAACACAAATACACAAATCATTTAAAAATATTAAATCTTTTTAAAAAGTTGGCGTCACGCCTGGTAAGAGATGGCACATACATTTAATCACAGCACTCAGAAGGTAGACGCAGGGAGATCTGTTAAGTTCAAAGTCAGTTTGGTCTACACAGAAAGAGGTCCAGGCCAGCCAGGGAAACATAGTAGATGCCTGGCTGAAAAGTGAGTAAGAAAACGGCAACCCAGTGAACAAAATGTAGTTCACTCTCAGTACAGGTATCCATTAAGTGTCTATTACACCAGCTGTATCAGGCCCCACTGCTGACCACTGACAAACCCTCCTAAAACTGACTGGTAAAGTCTGGTAAAGAAGTTAAACAAATACCCTGACAACACAGACTAATAACAAGTTTAAGAAGGAAAAGTCATTAGACACTAAAGGAGTCCACCAGAGAGACATAAAGCCAGGAGTCACAACCAGCAAGTCTGTGAAGTCCGAATGCACTGACAGTGGAATAAGCTGAACTGTTTAAATGCCTGGACCTTCTGAGTATAGCAAAACTTTAGCCTTTCTCCTAGCCGCTAGGGAAAGACACGAAAGGTTTAACCACATACATTTTCAAAGACTAGCTGCAGAATAAATGAAGATGAGAGTCAACTACTCTAGACTACGACTACCATGTGAGTAAGAGACAATGGGAAAATGATGAAAAGCTCATCGTTAGGTATGGTAGCTGCACGATGGTTGCATTCCTATTAGAGAAAGTTGAGAGCAGCGGAACCCTGACAAGTCCACAAGCTCAGAGCGGTCTCTGAAGGGTTCAAGTAAAGAGCTGGGGCAGAGCTGAGTCACAGAACACTTGCTAAGCCTGTGTCAGGCCACAGTTCATTCCATTTCAAAAAATGTTGTCTTTACAACACAGATGAGAAGCGAAAAGCCAAAGGCAGATAGGAATGATAAACAATAGGACTTGGAAGCTGGCGAGGGGACTGCAAGAGAAAACAAACTGCACAGTGCAGTGACAACTGGTGTAAAATCCTGGGGACAAACTGTAGGTCTTACATGTTACGCTGAACTTTTGAGCTTTAGCTTGAGAAACTGAGGATTTTCTAGAGTTTTCTAGCAGGAGACTAAAGGACAATAAAGAGCGGAAGAGCCCCTTGAGACAGCCCCCCCCTCCTCCTCCTCCTCCAACGGGGGCGGGAATCTCCCTCCTCATAACACCTGTCAGTTACACTTTTCCCCTCCTAAAGAACACACAAATGGTAATGCAAGACTGCTATATTCATTCTGACTCAAATTTCCCAGCAACTCCTTACCACCTATGAAGCCTACCCTTGCTAATGACACTTCTTCAAAGTTCTTTACAATTAGTAAATGCCTCTTTCCTTCCCTCCTGCCTTCCTTCCTTCTCTTTTTTTTTTTTTTAGATAAGGTCTGACTATGTAGATCAGGCTGGCCCAGAACTCAGTGAGATCCACCTGCCTTTACCTCCTGACTACTGAGATCAAAGGCATGCACCACCACCCCTGGCACAATTTTCTTATTTATTTCTTGGCTAGGATTGAATCTAGAGCCTCACATGCTAGACAGACACCATAAAACTGTGCTGTATCTCTACCGTTTAAAATTGTTTTTCCACTTTTTTTTTCTTGGTTTTTCAAGACAGGGTTTCTCTGTGTGTGTGTGGCCTTGGCTGTCCTAGAACTCACTCTGTAGACCATGCTGGCCTCAAACTCAAGAGACCTGCCTGCCTCTGCCTCCCAAGGGGGTGAGGATCAAAGCCAAGAACCATCACATCCTAGCTCCATTTTTTTCTTTTTCTAAGATTTATTTATTTATTATGTATACAGTGTTCTGCCTGCATGTGTGCCTGCACGCCAGAAGAGGGCACCAGATCTCATCATAAATGGTTGTGAGCCACCATGTGGGTTCTGGGAATTGAACTCAGGACCTCTGGAAGAGCAGTCAGTGCTCTTAACCCCTGAGCCATCTCTCTGGCCCCTCCAATTCTTTTTCTATGATGACTTTTCTTTGCTTATAAAACTCACCTTGATTTCTACCAGTTTTTTAATTATTCAAACAAAAGCATGTTTCTTCCATTCACACAATTCAGTTATTTCTTCATCCCCACAGAATAAACCATGCCCTCATGGAGACCTTGTTCCAGTACTCAAGGATTTTCCATTTAGGAAACCCTGAGGCTTTGTTTTTTGAGACAGGGGTTTCTCTGTGACTTTGGAGGCTGTCCTGGAACTAGCTCTTGCAGACTAGGCTGGCCTCAAACTCACAGAGATCTGCCTGCCTCTGCCTCCCAAGTGCTGGGATTAAAGGCGTGTGCCACCAATGCCCGGCTACCTTGAGGCTTTAATTCTGGTGCCACTATTACTATCTAAATGTTGGGACCTAAAGTATACCTAAATGTAGGGTCTAGAGAACATAAAACTGTGAGTTGTAAATTATTTATAGGTTCCCCTCAAAAAAAAATATATATATATAAATATGTAAATAAATATATATATATATATATATATATATATATAGAGAGAGAGAGAGAGAGAGAGAGAGAGAGAGGCTGCACTTAAAACAAGAGTAGTGGGCAGAGGTGGTGCACTCCTTTAATCCCAGCACTCAGGAGGCAAAGGCGGGCAGATCTTTGTGAGTTTGAGGCCAGCCTGGTCTACAGAGTGAGTCCCAAGACAGCCAGAGCTACACAGTGAAACCCTGTCTTAAAAAAAAAAAAAAAAGAAAAGGAAAGGAAAGGAAAAAGGAAAAAGAGGTGGACCTAAGCTGACTCCTAGAACTTAGCTAAGGCCTGGTGACAGGAAGAAGAGACAAGTAGGTCTCTAAAGCCCACAGCCAACTAGCCTCCCCTAACCAGTCAGCCTCATGCCAGTGATTCTGCCTCAACATCAATGTTTAGGTGACATGGCTCATGAGTTAAGAGCTTAAGTTGCTCTTTGAGGACCTGGGTTTGATTCCCAGCACCTCCAGTCCCAGGGGACCTCGTCTGGCCTCTGGGGGCACCAAGCAGGCACACAGTACACAAGCACATAGGCAAAACACCATCCACATAAAAGAAAAACTTAACCTTAATTTTAAAAGCCCAGGATCTCTAATTCAACAACAAAAGCCACTGCTGACAACTCCCAAGAAATGATGCCTGAGACTGACCTCTGACCTTCACACACACAGAGAAGAAAGTATGAGGAGTCTATACATCTATGCTTTGCTTAAACCTTGTTGTGTTTTGTTTGTTTTTTGAGACAGGGTTTCTTTGTGTAGCTTTGGCTGTCCTGGAACTCACTCTATAAACCAGGCAGGCTTCGAACTCAGAGATCCACCTCCCTCTGCCTCCTGAGTGCTGGGATTATAGGTGTGCACCACCACCAGGCTCTTGCTTAACCCTTTCTACTCATGTGTTTTCTTCTCTGCTTAGGCCTGTGTTCCCTTCTTCCCGCCTAGTTTCCCAAGGAGGCACTCCAAGTTGAACACAAAATCAGAGATGTGAAGCCAGGATTCACACATGAAGTAGAACCTACAGCATCTGCTTTTCTATCCCTGCTTGTCCTCACTTGATGGTTTGCTAAAGGCCTCAATGGCCAGGTGGTGTTGGTTCACCCTGTTAATCCTAGCCCTCAGGAGAGGCAGGGAGGTGAACACCATGCGATGGCGGTCAGAAGTCATCAAATCCCTTACTGCTAGAGTTATATATTGGTGTAAGCCGCTATGTGGGTGTCTGTAAGAGCAATAAGGGCTCTTAACCATTGAGGCAACTCTCCAGTCCACTGTAAATAATCTCAGAAAAAAAAATCATTAAATAAAAATATCAAGACATCTACTATGGTAGATTACAGCTTTCAAATACTGTATTATTTAGGAAGGCATCTAAAGGGGCTATCATATTTTCTACTTAAATGAAACAAACAAAAAACAAAAACAAAAACAAAACCTCAGGATCTAAAACATTAAATGAGCTGGGAAAGTCACTCAGTAGAACAGCATTTACCTAGCACACATACAATAGATTTACTTAGACTTGATTGCTAACTCTGCAAAAATAACAAAAAATAAAAAATATTAAATGAGCCAAGCATGGTAGCACATGCCTTCAATCCCAGTACTCAGAAGATATAGGCCAGTGGATCTCTGTAAATTCAAGGCCTATCTGGTCTACATATCAAGTTCCAGGACAATAAGAGCTAGGAGAGACCCTGTCTCAACAACCAAAAAAGTAAATAAAGATATGACTTTTAAAGCTGTCTAATTTTCCTTGCTAAGCACTTACTACATAACTTCTTCAGGTATTTATATATTTTGAGGCAAGGTTTCTCTACATAGCCTCAGCTATCCTGTAATTCACTATTTAAATACTACACAAGGTTATATTCTTAAGCAATACTGCTAATCCAAGAAGACAACAGAAATACAAAACAATCCCTGGGAGGCTGCTTTTTTTTTTTTTTTTTTTATAGAACATCTTTTATCACCACTTGGTCCTATCTAAGTTCCATCCCCAGAACCTGAATAAAAGCCTGACACAGCCCATGCTTATAATCCCAGTACTGGGAAGACAGAGACAGGAGGACCTCTGGGGCTTGACAGCTAGACAGTCAAGTCAAATTAGCAAGCGCCAGGCTCACCTCAAAAAAACAGTAGAAAGCAATTGAGGAAGACACCCAACACCAAACTCTGGCCTACATATGCACTTGCAGAGCCACAAAACATGTAAACATGCACACACACACACCAAGGTAAACTCTCAAAATAAATGAAAACCCTGCATGGTGGTGCATGTCTTTAATCTCAGCACCTAGGTGGCAGGTGGATCTCCGAGTCTGAGGCCAGCCTGGTCTACGTAGAGAGTTCCAGGACAGTAGGAGCTACAGAATCAGACTCTGTCTCAAAAAATAAAAGTTTGTAAAATAAATAAAAAGAGGTAGAGGGCCCATTCTACCTCTCATCTTACACCAGTGTGCATAACACAAACTGATGTTTCTCTAAAGCCAGTATCTTTTAAAAGATTCTTACCCAGGAATCACAAATCCATGTGTTACTTAAAGAAATGAGAACTGAATAACCACCACTATATTAGTAATCACAAACAGCCATCATGTAACACTAGAACACATGGTCAATAAACTATCTATATTCAATAGGTACTACACACACACTTACTAAACCTACATAAACAGACAGAGCAAATACACAAAAAGAGCAAATCACAAAAAACACTAATACATTTAAATATTCAGTCTAAAAAAGTATGTATCAAATGTTAACCTCCGAGTAATAAGACTGTAACTTCTTTTAACTCTGATTTTATAAATTTTATAATAATCATTTATTAATGAAAATAAGTCACCTTTTCAAAAGAAACTAAAAATATCCTTTAACATAAACTGCAAGAGCATGTCTCTCCACTTAAGAAATATGAGGGCTGCAGAGATGGCTCAGCAGTTAACAGCACTGGCTGCTCTTCCAGAGGACCTGGGTTCAATTCCCAGCACCCACATGGCAGCTCACAACCGTATATAATTCCAGTTCCAGGGATTCAACACCCTCACACAGACATACATATAGGCCAAACACCAATGCACATAAAAATAAATAACTTTTTAAAAGAGAAAAAAAGAAAGAAATATGAGCTATGCATACCAGGAGTTCATCCATGCTAGTCTGACATTTCTCAAGGTTTATCCGTTTGATTGCCACTCTCTCCTTTTTGGGGGCACAATAAGCTGCTTGGACCACAGCAGTTGCTCCACTCCCTGAAAACAAATACACAATTAACTAATTAATTAATTAAACAAACAAAGCATAGCATTTTGAATCACCACAGTTTAATTTAAACAGTGAAGGCTAAGCCTATTTTGCCCCACAATGGACAACAGATGAGGAGAAATGCCCTAGAGAGCTGGTGAACACAACCTCAGAGCCAATAAGATGGCTCAGCAGGCAAAGGTTCTACCTGACTGCCTGAGTTCAAACCCAAGGCCCACATGGTGGGGGAGGAGAGAACTGATCCCCAAAGATGTCCTCTGACCTCCACACTCACACACATGTGCACCCCACATGTGCACATGCATACACATACGCACACTTGTGAAACCACCCCCCCACATGCACATGCACAAACACACACAGTGCTCAAACACACACACACACACACACACACACACACACATATACTTGTGCACCCAACCCCATATGCGTACACACACATGTGCACACACACGCACACACACACTTGTGCAACCACCTACACACATGCACACACATGCACACACACACATGCACACACTTGTACAACCACCCACACACATGCACACATGCAAACACACACATGCGCACACGCACACAACAAATGAAAATGTAGTTTAGAATTAAAAAACAAAAACCACCTTCAGAGGTTTCATGTCTATAGCCAATAAATAACAGTACAAAACAATTGCAAATTATTAGGATTCTAGTTCTAAAGTATGATAGACAGCATAGGCCCATATTACCTGTTCTCCAAGTACAAGTAAATACCATAAGCACAACTGACAAATAATCACCAAAGGGCTTTAGGAGGTATAGAAAGGAGGCAGAGCACCTAGAGACCCAGGACTAGGAAGGCCCATGGTGAGCACTTCCCTTCCCTCTCCCGTATGTTTCAAGCTGGACAACAGACAGGTCTGCTGATGGGGATTTCTTCTGTGCATTTGTTTCTCTTATTGGTTAATGAATAAAACAATGATTGGCCAGACAGGAAGTGACACAGATGGGCAGAAAGAGGATATAATCAGGGACAAACAGGAAATCTCTCTTATCTATCAAGACACTGAGCACTTGAGATATAGCAGGCAAAGGAGTTGCAGGTCTGGCATTCCCAGGTAAGATAAAACCATGTGGAAATACTTAGATTAATAGAAATGTGTTAATAATTAAGACAGAGCTAGCTAATAAGAAACCGAAGCCAACAGCCAACAGTTTCATAATTAATATAGCGTCTGTGTACTTCTTTGGGGCAGAGAAGGGCAGCGGGATCTGCCGGGCCAGAAAACCCACGTTGAAGTCTGCACTTCAGAGCTACCAAGAAAGTAAGGACAGACAGATGCACAGACAAGCCAACAAACTAGAAAAGCCTGCCCTCTGGCTACAGATCTGTGAAAAGGCAGCTCAGGACAAACCTAGTAGGTAAAAATATTCCCCAGCCCTCATCCAGGACAAGGACTGGTCCAAATGACCCAACCCAGCATAAACATGGTCCTCTATTTCACACCTTCAACAGTGGCAGGCAGTTCAGCCTGGTCTGCACCCACGGCAATGCCAAGCCAACCAGCTTTTAGCAGTACATAGTGCAGGACAGATCCTGCACTGGGGCTACAGAGACCAGAGCAGTGATACAAGAGCCCTGAAAACTGCATTACCAAGGGCATTACAACTCCCAAGAGTAGACAGAAAGCTATACACTAAACCAAAATGTACCCTGTACTGCTTGCCAAAATACAAGAGTAGCATAATAATAACCCAAATGTCCAGGGTGCAATTAAAATGGCATGACTCTGGCTGTGGTAGTGCACACTTAGGAAGAGGCAGGAGGTTAAGTTAAAAGTCACCTTTGGCTACAAGACAAGTTGAAGATCAGCCTGGGCTACAGAGAATGTCAAAAAATAACAATAAAATAAATTCTCGATGAAGAAACTATGGGGGTCGGAGGGGGGCTGGTAAAGATGTTTGCTGCCAAGCCTGAAAACCTGAGTTCTAGCCACAGGACCCACCCACATGATGGAGAGAAGTGAGCCCCCAAAAGCTGTCCTCTGACCTCTACACAGGCACTGTGGTCCAGTGTGCATGGATACACACACACACACACATGTAATTTAGGAGTGTGCATAAAGGGGTTGTGCTAGAGACTGAACACAGGCCTTGTGACTGCTGAGCACAAGGCTCTACCTACACAGTCTGTCCTCAGCCTCAGGATTTTGCTTTTCTCTCTAACAGCCCTATGTCCTACAACTAGCTCTGTAGACCAGACTGGTCTCGAACTTACAAGAGGTCCACCTGCCTCTGCCTCCCGAGTGCCGGGATAGAAGGTGTGCACCACCACTGCCCGGCCATCTTTTCTCTTGATGCGAAGAAGAAAAAAAGACAATGAAATGTACACCCAGAAGTTATTTTTAAAGTACCAGATGGAATTACACAACTAAACTATACACTGCCTGAGAAAAAGCATTTGCTGGGAACTTATAGATCACACAGGATGGAAACTGTGAACTTGGAGACAAAACAGTTTATCTAAACAAAGACAACACTGAGGAAAGCCTTAGGGAGTAAGAGTAAGGAACCTATATTCCATATAGTACATAGAATAAGACTCTACCCCAAGACATAAATGTTCTTCTATCTCAAAAACCTACAAACATATTACCCTATATAGCAAAAAAAAAAAAAAAAGTTTAGAGCTGGAGAGAGGGCTCAGTGGTTAAAAGCACTTGCTACTCTCATAGTCTCCAGCATACTTTGGTAGTTGGCTCACAACAACCTCTAACTCCAGTTACAAGGGATTCAAAGCCCTCTTCTGTCCTCCCTCGGTACCAACCATGGACAGACATACATGCAGACAAAACGTTACCAGATTCCCTTTTTACAAAATGTTCAGAACACACAGATCCAGAGACAAAATCATGGTTGCAAGGAGTTAAAAATGAGGAGTAGAAGTGACTACATCATAAGATAGGTTTATTCTTTCTCTTATTGATGATTACAAAATATCCTAAATGCAAAAAAAGAAATGTAATCAAATAGACACTATTTTTTAATTTAACTGTCCATTTTTTATTTATTTGTATTTTAGATACATTTGGTGTTTTGCTTGCATACATGACTGTGTGAGGGTGTCAGATACCCTGGAACAGGAGGTATAGACAGTTGTGAGCTGCCATGTGGATGCTGGGAATTGAACCAGAGTCCTCTGGAAGAGCAATCAGTGCTCTTAACTGCTGAGCCATCTCTCCAGCCCCCAAATAGACATTTTAAAATGGTAACTTTTAGCCAGGTATAGTGGCACACACCTTTAATCCCAGAACACAGGAGACAAAGGCAAGAAAATCTCTGCAAGGCTAGCCTGGTCTACAGAGCCAGTTCCAGAACAGCCAGGACTACACAGAGACCCTCTCTCAAAAAAGAAATAACTTTAATCTTATTTTTTTAGAAAACGACAACCATAAGCCAGGCAGTGGTGACCCACACCTTTAGTACCAGCATTCAGGAGGAATAAGAAGGCAGATCTCTGTGAGTTTGAGCCCAACCTGGTCTACAAAGAGAGTTCCAGGACAGCTAGGGCTACACAGCAAAACCCTGTCTCAGAAAACAAACAAAAAAAAGTCGTTACCTCCTAATCCAAGAATTTTGAAAAGCGCATGGAACAATGCTTCGAAAACAAATCTTAAAAGTTTTTGTTGGTTGGTTTCCCCTTCTTCCCCACCCCCACTCCCCAAAACAAAGTTCAAGGCGATATCAAGCCCTTTAAGGCTGTGGAAGTTAAACAACAAATTGAATCTCACTCTTTCTCTTCCCTTCTCTCTCCTCCCCTCTGTGGCCCATCAGGTGCCTTCCTGACATGCATTATTTTTAAATCTTATCTAGGTGGAATCCTCCCTCCCTCCGCTAAGAATGAAGTGGGCATTTGTAAGTCACTCCTCAGACCTCTGAATTACAGCATCTGCAAGTGTCTGATAACTGGACATGCGGAATGTAATTAGCACTACCTTCATGCAAGTAGCATATCTATCTACTAATCCACATGATGTCCTTTCAAAGCCCAGCTCAAAAGTCATCTATTTTCAAGAACTACTACTGAATGGATTAAAATCTATACTACAGCTCCACTACTAGTGACAGGGTAAATTTCCATTTCCCAACCATGTGCCTGGCAGAGAAATGCTCAATCCATGTGCTATTATTACTCACCTATTTACTTGTTATTTCAACTGTTCAAACACATGTGTCAAGTATCATCTGGTCTAGAGTGAACTTATTAATGTTCAAAAGTGCTTGAACCTTTACCAAAACATAGAAGGGCAAATTATCCCTGACAGCTCTCCACCCTCTACAAATTACACAGGAACTACATGGCTCCACCCCCACAACGCTTTAGTCACGTGGATGACCACACTACACATTCTCTTGTACAGTACACCCCAGCTGGAAAACATTCAACACTACAGGGAAAGTGCTCATTACATTCTCTCTCCTCCTTCTTTAGTCTCTCTTCTTCCTCTAAATACAAAGCAATTTCAGGAAATGCTGGCAAGTGAGGAGGAAAAAGGCTTTATGTATTGCATAGTAACTGCACTAATAAAAACAGTCCTCAAAACTCAGAATGTTTCTACTATTATGGAGCAAAGTTACCCAGACTCCCTTATAACAAACATTGACTTTTTGGTAGAGTTTGACTTTAGTAAGATTCCAAATCAGGGGCTGGAGATGGCTCAGCGGTTAAGAGCACTGACTGCTCTTTCAGAGGACACCGGTTTAATTCCCAGCACCCACATGGCAGCTAACAACTGTCTGTAACTCTAAGATCTAACACTATCACACAGACATACATGAGGACAAAACACCAATATATATAAAATAAGAATAAATTATTTTTTAAAAAGAAAGATTCCAAATTAACCTGTAAAATGGCTTGGGAAGACAGCTGCATCCATAAAGTACTTGCCACACAAGCATGAGACCCAGAACCCACGTGAAAGCTGAGCAGGGCAGCACAGGCAGTAGTCCTAGTGGCGGGCAAGCAAGCGACAG